GTGGTGCGTCGTCTTTCACGTAGAGACCTGTGTGGACGAATTAGATTTGGGAGGGCACATCAATCCACAAACTAGCTCAAGTCCTTGGTCCAGGTCGCTTCATCCAGGTCGCTTCCCATCTCTCCATCTGAAGACGCTCAGGCCACCCGAAGATGTCCAGGACATCGATGAGAACGCGGAGAATGAGATGGAGGCCTGGGAATTGGCCAGAAGAGCCAAGCAAACGCCTGTAGACACTTGAAAAAGGACCCATGCAGCCCCATATCCCTCAAAAGAAAAACATGTGCGACTGCAGGGTGAAAGGTTCAGCAGTCCAATTGTTGCCACACAAGTCCAATGGGTACACTGCAAGTTGGAGAAGGTCCATGCTTGCCTTGAGAGATCCTTGGAGCCCTCGGCCCTCGGTCGCAGGAGGAGCTGGAGGGCGATCGGAGGGGCCTGCCGAAGTTGGAGGAGGACGCTGATGAGGAGGCGGAAGATGTTGAAGTGCCTGGTGTTCTTGAACTAGTGAATGCACCACCACACTCTTTAGCTCGGACCCCCCTTCCCGGTCTTGGTCGCATTCTCGCATGGGCTTCAGTGAATAAGCGGTGTACGCAAGTCTGGTAGATGGGGCGTCTTGATGCAGGTCGGGTCACTCGAGAATCGGTCAAAGACGAAGGAAGTCCGCTGGTTGGTGGGTAATTACCAGAATGTTTAGGAACTGGAAATGTGTAAATTCTGACAGCTAAGGGTTTCCACTAGGGGCCGTTCGTAGATTGAGAGGATCTCGTTTAGCTGAAAAAGACCCGGCGCGGCAAATGTGTTGGGGCACTCAGCCTTTTTCCACCAAACGAGGCGTTCTCCTGCAAGGTCCTGGAACATGTCTTTCTATATACCTTTCTTGTATGTTTTTAGTTCAGAGAGTTTTCCCCCTTCAGAAGCCCCAAGATAAGCCCCAAGATAACGGCCACATGGTTCAACCTCTCTGGATCCCAAGCCTCTCGCCAGGGGATGCTGAGCCGAGACTCTTTGAGGACAGGTTTGCGGGAATGCACCGCGGATCGAAGGCTGCACGAATTTGCCTTGTAGGATTTATACACACACACATATATATAGTATAATCAATAGGAGGTGGGTATAGGAGGGGTACCATATATATATACATACTGTAGGTTAAGAGGTTAGGAGGCTCCGGCCGTTTTAGAGGCTTAAAAGCACAGTTCGTTCGCTTCCTCAAAGCCACAAGGAATCTGAAAAGTGTCCGGACACTTTCTCAGCAATCGTGTCTCACACGTGTTTTGGAGCCGCTCGAACCCGACTGCGGGTTCGACGCTCCTCTTCGCAATGCTTCGCCAGGAGCGTCGATTTGCTTCTGCCGGTCCAACTGCCCTCGCCCCGCATCTTGGCAACGCCACAATGGAGAGAAAAAGACGAAGTGTGTGAGTTGATTTCGATGCGATGAAACTGATCATTTTCTTCTTTCTCTGCTGACAACGAGTCGTGCAAGCGAACCGATCATTGACAGAAATTGATTGATTGACAGAGCACTGGAACCGTCCTACTGGAGTCTATCCTAATCTTCTCGATGATGCTTAGGTAGATGATGGTACATGGGACATTTTCTCTCTGTTTTGGGAAGGAAACGCAATATGTCTAGCATGTTCCATGGATAGAAGCAGCCAAACAATCCAGAGTTTGTAGTGCACGCTGCACACCTACAACCACGCAAAGAATTTAGCAACGTTAAGAATGCACTATATACTATGACTATAACCTGAACAGACTGGCTGCCACCCCAAAGGCAAACCCATCCCAGTGTCAAAAATCGAAGGCCTCTTTTGTCAATGCAATTGGTTCCTGCCTGGGGCCCACACGCACGGGCTTCCGAACAGCTTACACCCACCCCTTTGACCGGTCGGGTATGGATGTAACCATGCACACCAAGACATCCGAAGACCATCAACCGGTGGGTTTCACGAGGGTTTTGCACCTCCGGTGATGATTCCGGGGGAGTGTTGGGTTAGAGGCCATCGCTAGTAGGTTGGAGGCCATGGCTGTTAGGTTGGAGGCCATCGCTGTATATCGCTGTTAGCTTGATCTCTAAACGGCCCCTCCTCGCCACCTCCGGTGCCGTGCGCTCGGGGCCGGTGCGCCGCTCCGTAGGCTCGCTGGCGGAGCGCAGCAATTCGGTGCCCAGCTCGCCGAGTCAGTCCTTGCAGCTGGCGCGCGGCGACACGGAGGATTCCTCCAAGGCGGGATCCTTTTCGGAAGGATGAGAAAGAACATGAGTATAGTGAACAGTAGGAATTTATAGGGGGCCGTACTGACCCTGGGTCCCAGTACAACTGGTATAATCAGTGTTTATATGTGTTTATCGTTTATTATTCTCCTTTTTTGTGTTAAAGCTCTAATTTCTTTCTTTGGACTTCCAGCGGTTTCAGAGGCTCGATGGCACACGCCCTTCTGTCTTGGACAGGTCTGGCCCCCCAACTTGGGTGCCCTTGTGCCATCTTGCACTCCATCCACTAATGAGGTGCACCGGTCTGGCCGTCTGTGCACGGTGTAGAAGAACCGGTGCACGTCCCAGGCCTCACCGGGTCTGACCTCGCAGGTTTGGCTGCTTCAAACGACGCACACCTTGCAGTGCAAGTGAGCGTTTGTTCAATTGGCCTCCAAGTCGTCCAGAGGTGCTACCAATCAGCGGGACAACTGCTGGTTACCAAGGGGGTAAAGAGCACTTGCACCGGACCAGCTGTCAGTAAAGTCTCTTCCGGCGGGAGAACCCGGGTCCTCGGTGTTGGTCCGTTTTACCTTGTTTGGGCTCCGTGTCACCCGAAGACTGAGCAAACAGGCATCAGATGGTCCAACAGTGACGGTTTTTTCATCGCGCATGGTAGGAACTGTACCGGGCCGGCCCAGTGGAGGTTGTGAGTGAACCACTGAAGGAGTCCAAGCACATCCAAAAGCGACCAAAAGCTGATGGACGTTGGACCTGTGATTTGTAGCGGGTAGATCGACTCACTTCACATCTCCATGTGGCTTTGAGAACTCATATGGCCTCACCTCTCCATGTCACATGGATCCATCAGGAGGCCTCTCAACCAATCATGGAGCTGGATGGCGCCCTGCCATGCAGATCCCGACGGTTTTGGTCAGTCCCGGTGGTGCCCGGTGCGCCCGGTGCTGCTCGTTCACTCTCGTTCAACGCCGCTCGGCCCGGCCCTGCTTGGCACCGCCCCCATCTCCGATGCCCAGACCCTGAGTCAGCAGCTCTCGAAGTGGTTTGGGGGCTCCAACCCTTCAGAAAAGGAGCGGACCGTGGGGGGAGTGGGGCAGAGTCAGAGAGGAGTCAGTGAGGAGTCGGTCGATTAGGGGCAAACATGAAGGGTAAAGGAATCAGTAAACCATGGTAAACCAATGAAAGTTAGTTGAAGGCATGGAGCAATGTTGGAGCATCGAGAGCTGGCACAATTCAGGATGAATCAGGTGTTTGACCATCCAAAGCTATATAATCCCGAGTTATGTTAATATGTCACATTTCATTGCGCTAGACATCATGACAAGATGCAACACAAACAAGGTTCTTACAGGAGGGCTTAAGGGTCCCTATCCGCGGGGATTTTGGATGGATTTGGTGAGAAGATTCCCTACGTGCTCAAGATTCCCCCGCTGGCAGGAGAATCCAATTGAAGCTCTCAGCCGCTTTCTTCAACAGGCTCGATGGGACACACCAACGACCATGGTGTTTGGTGGAAGGGAGAGGAAGGGAAGCATGGACCATGATCATCATGTGGGAGCATCAATCCAGGACGCTGGACTGGCTCCCTGGACCACCCCGTCTTTTGCAGCTGGTCGCCTTCATGTGCACATGCATGGCCGCAAAGATGGACGAAGAGGTGTCTGGGTGTCTCACCCAACTCGTCCGAAAATGCTTGGGATCACAGATGCCGGGTCCAGGAAGAAGTGCTGGAAGAGCACGAGCGGCAAGAGCGCGACTGGGTTGCAGATGCACCGCAAGCGGTGAAACAGCATATGAGATTATGTAACTGTAAGCCCAAATGGAAAACACAACTACAGTATATATACAGTGCTTCTTGATTGTTGCTAGCTGCTAGGGTCAAAGGTTGTGTCATAGCCATGCAATTAATTAGGTATGATAGCTGTATCATGTATGCTGCCCGGCACTGCCCTCAACATGTCCGGCCTGGTGCCGATGTCCCCGAAGACTTCACTTCTGCACATCGCTCGAAGGACATGGCTGGTGTCATGAATCATGAATGAGATATGGATGGTGTCATGACGGTGACATGGTGTCTTCTTTGAGTATCTCATGGAGGTCGTCATGTGCCCCTCAACGTTGATGTGTTCCACCAGTTGATTTGTTTGTTCTTTTTTTGGGGGGGATGGCACTCGTATCAGCTCGTCGGTCGAAACCGGACACTGGGACTGGACTCGTTGGTTCCGTTGGTTCCTGGTTTATTTCCCGGATCCCTCCTGTCAGAGTCAGAGGTTTGTCGGCCTGAAGCAGTCTGAGTGGAGCAGCTATGCAGGATTGACAGCTGTGTTACTCCCCCACAAACTATAACCTGAGAACTGACCCGTGGAAGACGATTTTCCTCTACAACCCAGTAGTTTGGGGGTTCCATGTCGTCCTCTGCAGGGGAGTAGGGGTTCACAGCTGTGTTATGATTGTGCATGGAGGATGCCCATGACTGTGGCAAGACGCAGGATTCCACTCCATTGGCGCAAGCCGCTGGCTTTAGGTCGCTTAGATCACTGTTAGTTATACCATGTTATACCCATGATTGACAAGATCTGACTGATCCATTTGACCTCAAAAGACGTCGAAGAAGCCTGAAGAAGCAATTTTCACTTGCTGAGGCAGGATACCGGATACCCCAAACAGAGGAGCACACCCATAGGCACCCCTCGCAAAGAAAGCCATTGAAAGCCCCGCGTTTGAACAGATGGCTCCAGGTCTCCATTGAAAGCCTGAGTTGAAGATTTCCACACTCGCCATGGCTTTGCAGCGTAGCTACCTCCTGAGCTGGCTCACAGCCTTGGCCGCTGCCACTCGCTGTCCTAACCCCGAGGTGCACGGGAGCAGTCGTGGTTTGCCCTGGGCCTTGTTGCCAGTGGCGCTGACCTTCGGGGCGTCAGCAGACAATTCCGACCTGAAGACCCCAAAGGATGGCTGATACTGGGTGCCAGTGGATGGGTGACCCAGATGCCCCAAATGCCGGGCCCAAATGCCGGGCCCGCTGACTCATATAGGGAGATGAGTTGCAACCACCAACCAGATCAGTGTTTGGTTGCTTTGAGACCCCTCCTGGGCCATCCATGGAGTGGGCTCATGTTCCGGCCGGACCCGGATGACTGGGTTACGACTTCCTCGCCAGGAGATCACAGCGAACTTGACGGTGGGCTACGATGAATTTGCACATCCCGGTCAACTGACCGGGGAACCCGTGCAGGCCGCGGGGGGGTTCTCTGGATGACCAGAGTTGCGGCTCCAACGACCTGGTTGACCGACAGTGACAGAAGAAATAAGGCTTCCCTTGCGGCCTTTTCTGGCCGGTGCAACCGGCTCCATTCTCCATGTTGGTCGAAGAAACATGACAACCCCCGAATGCTCATGAATACTCCAAGCTAGCAGCGAGTTGCTCTCAGACTAGCCCTGAAAGTCACTTGTCAAGAACCATCTTCTACCGATTCCATCTGGGCGCTGAGACCGGCTGGGCCCCGACGCCGGCGACCCTTCCCAGCGGTCGGCGACACCGCGGCCTCGGGTGCCGGCGGACAGGTGGAAATCATGCTCTTCGTGGCCTCCATCGTGCAAGTGAATCAAAAAGACCAGCAGCTGGCGATGGAGGGCTACTACCGAAGTGCGTGGCGCGATAGAACGAAGATGTGGGAAGATGTGGGAATGGTATGGAATGGTGGGCGTGGTGAACACATGAACACCACCCGAAAGCTTCTGAACAATCAGTAGACACAGTTGAGCTAGAACCGATGGGTTTCACAGTTTTGCTTTTTTAGATTCTATTATAGATTTGTGGTGGCTCTTCCATTTTGAGACGAACCGAGAACGAAAGGTTTGGATATGCAAGCAATTCTCAGGTGTCTTCTCCTTCTTCTTCTTCCATGAAGCTGCCATTGCTACTACAAATTGATTGTCTTCACCTTCGATCCCACATTTGGGCCTTCACACATGAGCAACCACCTGTTGACTAAAGTAGTCCACGGCACGCTCTATTTGTTTGTCCAACTTCAGCGTTCGCTGGTGAACGAGAAAAAGAGCCCCAAATAAACGAGATACTTTTGCTTGATGTCATAATTGTCATAACATGCATGCAAAATACACATCTGACATTGCAAAGGCATTTGCGGAAAGCTAGAGCAGGAAAGATCGAGAGACAGACAGACCAACGGATAGACATTGACATACGTAGCAAGAATAGATCTGGAAGGATGGTGAATTCAAAAAAACATACAGGGAGATGAGATCAGGTGAGACAAGCATGACAGCAAGATACATACAAAAGACACACACACACACACATGCGCACACGTGTAAACACATTATATAGTATCATGAATCTCTATCTCTATCTCTATTTTTATCTATTGCTTGCTTGTTTGCTTGCTTTCTTTCTTTCTTCCTTTGCTCATATACTAAAAAAATATACTGTACCAATATTTATCATTTATCGTCCTGATTTTCTACTATATCCATCTCTCTCTGGCGCCCCCCCTGCTCCTTTGCGCCGCTTCCCAGGTGGACCGATCCCCGGCTGAATCTGACGCAGTGGCCGGGCTGCGAGGCGCTGATCATCCCCACGAAGTCCTGGCCGTTCTGGCAGCCGGACGCTTGGCGTGTGGTGTGTGGTGCCTGATCCTGGGCTGGGGGTGGTGGAGTTGACGCGGTTTTTGGTCCTGGGGGTGGTTTTCCTGATGTTTTCTGTGGGGTGAAGTCGTCAAGAACATGTCGTGTAGACGGTGGATGAATTAAAACATCGAATCAAACATCATAAAGCCTCCATATGGATGTAAACCTCTCAGTATCTTCTCTCAAGTCATAACATGTCGACAGTCGTCAAAGATCAGATATACTCTCCATGGACGGTTTTCCTCACTGATGGAGAGTACATCTCCAGGTTTTTCTGGTCAGTTTTGTTTTAGAAACTGATGGTTTTTCAGGGTCCATGTGAGTCTTCAGACATTTTTCACATGGACCCGATCACAGCACTTCTGGAACATGGGTCGAACTGACTGGTGACATCTGGTGACATATCGGACCTTCGGACAGATCACGGCGGATCCCTTTTTTAAAATGTGACCATGTGGATGTTCACTCCAAGGGTTTGTGGGCGAATTAGCCCACATCCGAGGCATTCCTGCGTGAAGCGGACCGAAAGCCTCCCCTCAAATCTGTTTCGGTCCCAACAGCAGGGGGCAGTTGAATCAGGGGGCCTTGGTCGAAGACGCCGAAAATCAACAAGTCGTATATAATTGGTCCAGAAGGCATCATCTTCCACAGATGGTCCAGGTGGTCAGGGGGCCTCGGAGAACTGTGGCGGTTCTCAAGCAGAGGAGAACCGGAAATGCCAACTCCCAGAAGGGAACCCGAAATCTGGTCACCACCAAACCTTTGACACCCAAAACCCAAAACCCTAAACCCACTGGTCAGGCCCTGGACCTTTTTGACTTCCAACCTAACCACACTGGACGGCTCCTCGGCTCGGCTCGGCTCCTGAGGACATTTACTTCGACAATTCGGCTCCTTGGCGCGCGCCATGCGCTCATGTGACCGCCACGCGCTCCCTGAACCGCCATAGAGTTCACATGAGTTCACCCACTACCTGTCTGGTCTTCGGATTGATGACCCATAGGATCATGACCGAGGACCAGGATGGCCGCGGCCAGGCCGCCATACCATCCAATTCCATGACCATGATGATTCTCTTCAATCTCTGGTAGAGATTGCTCTATAGAATTCAGGGGTGTGTGGATGGATGTAGATGGCGACCAGGTCGGGAGGTTGCAGTCGAATCTCCCTGCCTGTGGGGATTCTATAGTAATGAAACTCACAGCACCTTTTGAGCTTTGCATTGAAGTCCCATCCCCACGTCCCGTGAACCATACGTACATATAAATCCCGCTATCCGCTTTCGAGTTTGATCTTCTTTGGCCTTGAAGCGTCGTCCAAGGGACAGGATCAGACACCTGTCCGCACAAAGGTCTGGATTTCAGATCTCGCATCAAAATTGAGGTCCAGGTGAATCAAGCTGGTGGCCCATGGTTGCCAACCATGGTCTTTAAGGTTTGAGCCAAGCTGTTGGGAGGTTAGGAGGGATGTTTACATTCGAGCAAGATCGATCATTTTCACCCATGCACTCGCTGCCGCTCCGAGGTGAAGGAATGGTATGGTGCCGGTGGCTTGACCATCTCTCCCAACGGCGCCTGGGTGGTTCACTGAGGGCTCACTGATCTAGAAGAAGCACGAGCAAGCAAGCAAGCAAGTCATGGCAGGTCATGACAGGTGTGTGCTGTTTCGGGATGAACAGAGAAGAGACAGTAATGAGTAACAACAGCTGGTTCGAGCGACAGCTAGCAAATCGACTGGGTGATTTTTTTTTCCATACGTTGTCTTGCGGTCCAATTCTGGTTGGCTCCCTTCAGAAGTCTCACTGTATCTGATTGTATCTCCATGATCTGAGGATATGTCTACAGATCCGAGCGCTTTTCACATGTCTTTGGCTGTCCCATGAGCTATTCCACCCTGCCATTCGACAAGCAGACTTGCGTGGTGAGGCGGGCTGAGTCGAAGCCGGTCGAGGATCAATCGTCACAGACTATATGACGGTGGCATATAAATACATATAGAAGTCAGGGGGCAGCGGGTAGCAAAGAAAAGGGGAAGCTTTGCAAAAATAATTTGCAAACTCCTTGGTTGCTTGTTGGAAGTTCCGCACGTTGGCTACTACAAGGTCTACTTTATAATGTGGTTTCTGCCTTTCTTGGCTACCTCTGATTTTGAGGAAGTGCACCCTCTGGCCATCATAGCACATGTATAGTCATAGGTTCCTCTAACATTGTTAAGCAGGGAACTTTCAATTTGAGGAGAACAGGTGAGAACATTGTTGTCTTGTTTTAAATGTGCTATTTACATGCTATTACTATGTCAAGAGTGCCGATCTGCAGCAAGCAGTAAACATGTTAAACTCAGCCAGCTTGAGACGGCACACTGAGCAGCAGGAAAGACAGTTCCCAGTAGACACCAACCAGTAGATGGTCGCGTGTGCTTGCACCAATGCTCCAAGCATTTCTGTGTTCCTAAGAGGGGCTCCGCACATCTACACCAGGCAGCTCAACCTCCGAATAGGTTCAGAATAGCAGAGGCTCCTTCGGATGAGATCTATGAGTCTATGAGTACCTTTAGCCAAGAAAAGTGAGAAGTCCATGGTAGGGGATCATCATTGCAAGCCATTGTTGGGTGGTCATTATGATATGGCCGCGGGCGGGCCGAGAACGATCTCTTCTGCAGTCGTCCATTCCGCAACCGGGGGTGGTAGCAAGGGCGTTTTGGCCAGTCTTCCAGCCAGCGGACGTTGTGGTCATATAACCCAAGTGGCCCCGAAGCCACTAGAAAGACCGCATGGTTGTATATTTATAAATAAGGCCCCGGCGTCTTCTACCAAGGGCCCCCAGCCAGCCGTTGCTAGGATGTCCTCCTATGCCTATGACGTGTCCAACGTGGCGGCAAACATTTTTCAGGCGTATCCGGCGTATCCTGTTTTGGGTGCTTAATTGAGCTGTCAGTGTCGTTGAACATGCGCGGTGGTGGCCCAAAGCCCGAGCCCGACCGTTCCAAGTTCAAACCAGCTTGAGGTTGGTCTCCCAGGGAGTTCGCCCTAGACCCTTTGGAGGAGGGAACACACATCACACATGGGCCAACGTGGGCAGACCCGTCAACACTTATTGAATCTTTTTAAGACTCCGCGTGCTGTGCAGGGCATGCTTTCTTTTCGCTTTCATTTGGTTCTAAGCCAGCACCCTCCAACAGGTCACCACCTGCCACTTTAAGTCTCCAAAAGCCACCATTTCGGAGACCTGTAGAGTCGGGGTGCTGGAACAGGTGCATCATTTTTGGCACACTCGTCAGGCCTCCCATGTTTGAGGCCTGCTGGATCCTTTCCCTCCCTGCCGTCCTCCGGGATTTCGCCCGGCCTAGTCACCACGGAGTTCACCAGGCTGGTGGAGTCGACCTGCCCGCGGACTACAAGGGCACCACGGAGTTTGCTTTGCGGCCGCCCTACTCGCGGGTGCAAACGGAGTACTATGGTGTGGGCGCCAACCAGAAAGGCGGATTGTTGGCTTGAGTGGGAATGATGTTGAGTGGGAAGATGGAGCGGCTTGAGACTCCCGGTCGTCGGTGGTTGAAGTTTCCTTTTATTTTTTTTATTGAAGGGAGGGTTTGTTTCTCGCAGAAAGGAGAAACACAAATGACAAAGAACTAGGTCAGTGATCTTCTTTTCGAAGACGTAGTGGACATCATTTCCATTTGTTTGCTGTCCTTGTGCAACCCCGGATCAACATTTACGATCATGTAGCATGTAAATGATAAATAGCTGTATTTCCAGTTCGTGAACATTTCGAACATGTTGCTGTTGGCAATCCGAACAACATGGACCTGGGCCCTATAGGCCTTAGACTGCACGGCACGGCAGCAATGGAGGCTACAATTTCGTTCTCCTCTACTTCGAACTCCAAAGAATGCCGGACTCCTTCATGATGCCCTTTGGCATGGGCATAGTGCAGCCACAGCTCCAATTCTTCATGTCAGATCCAACTCACAAGCATCAGCAACGAGAGCGGATAACATTGGGTAGGGTACAAAACAGCCATCACAACTTGGGGGTTGCTGGAAAACCATGGTTGCGACATGTTGCTACCATAACTGTCTCAGCCTCATGTATCTGATGAGTGCAAGCCAGGAACATCCAGGAAATCACCAGGTCAAGGCAACTCACCAGGTCAAAGCCTGCACGACCAGGACCTTGATTGACCAGGAAGAAAGCCTGCCGTGCACGCCACGTGCAAGCTCTTGAGCGAAGAAGCTCTTGAGACAGCTCAAGAGGTTGAGCTCCATGGTAATTTGGTATGTATATACAGTAATGTTCCTTTCAATTGCTGTAGGTTCGTGGGCATTCCAGGTGATGAACTGATGGACCGCTGTCCCGAGATCGCCCGAGTAGCTCGCTGAGGTTTGTGTTCGTGACATGCATCCTCTTCACCTTCGTCAGCTGGAGCGGGCTCTTCATCAATCGCACTGTGGCGCCCGCGCGCGTGGCCATCGCGGTGATTCCGGTGCTCATCATGCTGAACCTGGAGACGCTTCGATTCCGGTGCGACGACGGGTTCGGCGTTCCGTGTGGATTGGACGGCGAAGGCTGCGAAGTGCCAGAAACTTCTTTTTGCGGGGGAGCTGGTTGTGTAGGCCTTGCTTGCTTGTGGTTGATAGGCTAATTACTGGGTACCTGGTTAAGTCGTCTGGTCTTGTAGAAAGTCGTCTGGATGCTGCGTTTACAATGGGGTTAGATGCAAGATGGCAATATAACCGGAAGAGTATCAGGTCAACAATATTGTTTGGATGCTGCGTTTACACGCGGCCGGGTGACTTTGGGTGACTAAACCCCGACGCTTGTAACCAGAAATCTCGCTATAAGAAGCGTATGAGTGGGTTCTTCTGGACTCCTGTGTAGGCGTCAGTCAAATGAACATGTGCATGCTCACGATCTACCATGCATGCCGCATGCATGCGTCCTTCGTGAGAGGATGACTCGGGGCAGGGTGACTCCGGAGTCGCGCATCGGTAAATGGGATGATGGATCCCCGACTCTCATCGCTTTTGGCTGACTCCCCTGCTGCCTTGCCTTCATTTGGAAGAGCACATGTGGACATTCAGTGGGTTTCAGGCCAGTCCACGGCCCTTTTCTTCGTGCGAGACGAAGGAAGGAACCCGTTTTTCACATCGTGGAACACGCACGTGTGCCGCGGATCTCAGGAACAACGTGATCAGCAACCTGCCTCCCTTAAACTACCTCACGTGGATCACCAGCTATTTGCACCTTGCTTGAGCAGATCGATGGTCCGGTCCGATGGTGGATTCAGTGCGAGTTGAGCCATGCCATTTGGAGCTCTGAGAGCACTGCCCAAGGGGAAAGAAACATAATACTGTATTTGAACAATTATGAGCAATTACAAGCGATCACTTGTTTTTTTTTTGGGGGGGGTGGGTCAAGGCATGTGAACCCCTCAGTAACCAGCTTCACATACTTTCATATATGTTCATGACTTTCGAACACTTTCGATCCATCCATTTATGCCTGGACGTGAAACCGCCTCGTGTCCGGACACCGCATCGCCAGCCGAACGCTGTTCTGTCAGTGGTCCGCTCCCTTCGAACTCCTCCGGTCCACGTCGAGCCATGAAGGATGCCCCACCTCACACCAGTTACGCCCTACCATCCTATACCACCTATACCCCTCACTGCCCCCTGCTTTGTAAAGCCGGAAAGACAGCACTGGGATATCTGGGATGGTCAGCATTTCTCAGTACCACGAAGCTGTGCTGTGGCGGCCGCTGGGCCCGGAACTGGTTGCATGCACTATGCTTGCCCCCAAGGCAGCCATGTCTCGGAACAGGTCCCAAAAAGAAAAAGATGCCATGGACCGCAGGGAAGTTCATGGAACCTTCTCCAGATTTTTCCAGGAACCTTCTCCAAGTTGTGCAAGTTTCCTTTTTTAACCATGGTGGACATGCATGGAGACGTGGAAATTCGATGGACATCAGGGCAATTCCGCAATTGCCATAGACAGTGCCATGGACATTCCACGTGCATGGGCATTCCCATGGAGGCTCCTGATGAAGTTCTTCTGCTTGAGCGCCGTCTTCGAGTACGGCCTGGTGAGCTTCCTGATTCAGCTGGAGACCTCCCGCGAGCGTCAATTCGAGGCGGTGACGGTTTCTGTGCTGACGCTTCGAAGTCTGGAGAAACGCTTCAAAGAAGTCCTCTCAGCCTTTGAATTGGAAGGAAGTATGATTTGGATTGCTTTGATTGGTTGGTGATGATTTGTGTATTTATTTGATTTTATTTGTTGGCCAGGTGGATCGCATTCAGTGAGACTTCGTGTATTGAAAACCAATTGATAAGGGAAGGGGGAAGGGATTAGTGATTAGCGATGCAGTGAGAATGGAAGAGATCTTACACCATTCTAAAGCCCCGACCAGCCGTGGAATTCGTTGATATCCCTCCTACCAACTCGCGTGAGCTGCAGCATGCGAAAGAAGAACTCCGGATCTTGGTTTTTGTAGAGGGAGAGTCGATCGTGACAACAGTGATCGCATGACTCCGCACCAAGTACAGACGTCAAGTGATTAAGTATACTGATGCATGTATCATGCAACTATAATTTGATTTTAATGTATAAACTAGATATAATGCATCTATAATATATATATATATACACCTTCAGTATACAAACTATAAACATAATTTGCTTTGTTGGTCGTGTCGCTCTGTGAGGCCTTTAAGCACCTAGCAGAGACGGTCAAGAAGAAGGCCAAGGAGGATCACGGAGGCCGCGTGTGGCGGGCGCAGACATCGGGTGTTTTTCAGGTCCTTCTCCCGTTTGCGTTTTTTCGAGCACGCCGCTGACGATCGAAAAGAACCACCAGGTCTGACATGTTTTGTATTCTTTGTGCACCCACTGAGTAATTACTGTAATGTACTGTAGATTCTTTTTGTAGATCTTCATGGTGCCCGGTTGAGCAGGTGACCTGCAGGTAAAAGGCCGAAAATCCACGGGGGTGTTTTCCGTGCTGCTACTTAGACTGACCTGCCTGATCCGAGCACCGCCGGCCAGGCTCGGTGTTTCTGACCCCCGGGAGCTTGAAACCACTCCAGTTGATCGAAAGCTGAGGTGTGAGCAAGGAGCACAGCGGCAAAAACATGGTGAGTGCCGCACCGAAGATCTACCCCTCACGGGGGAGCCTTGGGTTCACAGGTCCCAGAGAACAAGAAACCGGACCGTCTCGACTAATAGAGGGGGAAAACCCCTTCCACAGGCGGTATGTTAGGAAGATCGGGGATCAAGTGATGGATGCGAAAAGGCTTGGGATGTTATTTTCGTGTGACTTTTGTGTTGGTCGGTGGGGTGTTTCTGATCTCACTTGATTTTGCTGCGAGAAGCCAACATCTCTCATAGGGGGCTGTTCCCACCGACTGAGCACAAGGCCAGACAACCTTTCCCTCCCCCAAAAAGACACATTTCAACAGGAGCGCGTGATCTTGGGGATGTTAACCCGGTGTCCTTTTCAGACCGACCGGCATCGGCTTCTTGCACCTCGATCTCTCGGCTTCGTGCCGCGCACCTTCGCCGAGGATCTATCCGGGCGAAGGCTTTGAGGGTGTGCCACCTCCGCCCAATCCCGGTTGGGAGGTGACTGAACCTGATGGCGAGGAAGATGCGGAGGAGACGCCATCGAAGACAACGAGCTGAGCCGATGCGCGAGCGATCAGTGGGGAGGTTGTCAGGGGCTCCTGGAGGAGTTTGGAGGGGAAAACTATATTGAAGAACTGAAGAACATAACTTTTTCCATAAAGTTCTTGCATGTGGGAGGTTTCAAGAACAAAGAGCCGTTCTGGTCGTTTCTGGAGCTTTGCCCCTCGGCGCGGTCGGAGCTGCGTGACGCGACGCCTTGCATGGGGCCGTGTTTGTTGAGCGATTTGCAGGCGATGGTGAACACGTCCACCTCTGGGACGTTCCAATGAATCTCACTTGACCCTGGAGGGGAATTCAGCTCTTTGCTTTTTCCGCCCCCACTCCATTCGTCGTCGCCGCTGCAAGGAGATCGACCTGCAGAAGAAATTCCATCAGGTGCACCTGCCCGCTGTCCGAGATCTACGATTTAAAATCATATGCCTCAAGTCCCACTGATGCGCTGCGTGCACCAGTCTTACATCTCTTCTAGTCCCTCATGAGATGTTGGCTTATGACATGAGAGGAAATGGCATGAGATGGTGCAACTATTCCAGTCCCATGGACACTCTCGCCATGTAGTAGCCCTTTTCTGGCCTCCTCTACAGCCAGGTCTACCGGCTGTTCGACCGGGACAACTCAGGGGAACTCAGCTGGAAGGAGGTGCAGGCGAAGCTGGGCGAACGAAGCGGGGCTTTCGGGTCTCCGGCCTACTCACTTTTGTGGGCAGAATCATGCAAACATCAGTTTTTCCATTTCTGTAGTTGCAGGTTGCGATCTTCATCCTTTTCCCATGTCGAAATGCAGGTGATTTCAGGTTCCTTGTTCCCTTGGGACCCGGACACCTTTCGCATGACCTCGTACTCGACCAAATGCGACCGCTCTCCAGGCAGGCTTCCGCAGACTGGGCCAGCCGCTTGGGGGCGTCGTTCACGGTTCAGGGGACGGCTGGAGACTGAGGAGCCTCCAGGGAGGTCTAGTTGGGGGATGGCTTGGATGGTCGTTTTGGATCGTTTTGGTGTTTGTGGCCTGCTTGGTGGTGTGACGAATTGGTTGATTGGCCCAATTCGCAGCTGGGGTTCAGGGTGCGATGAGGCGAGGCGAGAGGCCAGGCCAGCACAGAGAGAAAGAGATACGGAGAGGGATTGTGGCCCTTCTTGTCTCCTGGCATTTCCTCTTCTTTTGAGGTGTGCTACTTAGTTGGATCCTTGATGATCCTTGTGCGTTTTGGTTTTGAACAACTTGGGCGTTGGCCTGTTTCACTCACACCATGCAGACTATGGAGACGGCTGCGGCCCCCCATCGGCCCCCCTATTTGCTCTTGAAATCGATCAGTGACAGGGGGTGGCACTTCTTGGGGTGTTCGGTACCGTCTACCGATTCTCCAATGACGCCTTTGACAGGATCAGAAAGACAGATCGGTTTGCGATGAACGCTGCCAGACAACCAAAAGAACCCGACCTTACACGGATCACTGGAATTCTTAATCGAACTGGGAGGCAAAAAACAGCCAGCTACCGCCAGCTTTGAATGCTTTTTTCTCATGGCCAAGGTATTGGTCCAGGGATCAAGTGATGGAGCTCTTCTACGGTTTGGGTATCGTGGGGAAGGGGAAGCGGATGACCACCGCTGACTTCAAACGCTTCATGATGGACATCCAGAAGTATTTGCCCGGAAAGGTGGGCTCTTGGAAGTGAGACTTTCTTTCTTTTTCTCGTGGGGGAGGGTGGGGAGACGTTGCACTACACAAGCAAGATGGTCAGAAGATGTCAGAAGCAAGCTGATGAAGCTGTTTGCTCTTTTGATCTGTTTCGTGCAGAGGAAAACAAATGAGAAAAGAACCCAAGAACCACAGAGGAGGGCTCACATTTGCATGTATCCTTTGTTTCTTTCGTTGTCTCACCCCAGGTGGTTTATAGATGGCTGGTGTTCCTTGCTGGTGCTGAGTGGAAGACAACATCTTGGCCAGGAACAGGTTTGCTAGGAGCTGCTGGGCGAAGACAACTAGGAAGAGTTGCTAGAACTGGCATCAACATCACATACTATTGATTCCACATCACATCAAAAAAATCAAATCACCTAAGAAGTTCCCACTCCAGGCTGTTAAGTTCCCCCAACGTCTACGAACCCACATGTGGACAGTGGAACACCATGGGCATGCCTTCTCCTCTCCACCACGGGTCACCACGCTGCGACCCGGAGTCGAACTGCCCCAGGGCCACCAGGGTCACCCGGAGTCGCGCCACGACGATCCGAGCTCGGACAGACTGTCGGCGGCCAGGCCATGAACATTACCTTTGGCGAGCGACCGCCCTCCTACCAGGTGGACTTGGTCTTCCGATGGGCCTACATCTCAGGCGCCTGGTCACGCGGGTGACCGGAGACCGGTGGTCTCCGGAGACCGCAGATCGTCTCCGGTCGGAGGGGTGGGAGGTGGTGGGAGGTCGCTGGGCTTGAAGAGCGGTACAATGCTGGCCTGAGTGAGGAAAATGATGCCAATGTTCGGAGAACTCGTCTTTTGTGACACTATCGTGACTGCAGGGTCTGCAGGGTGAGGGGGAGCAAGGTAGCCATGTGTCGGTCTTCGATCGAGCCGCTCGAGCCGCTCGAGGTGTCCTTCTGGTGACCTTCATCTATTTGATCTCGTCGATCTGATTTCGCCCATCGACGTGACGTTTGAGACGCGCTCCGAAAAGGGAGTGTCGAGCCATGTGTAGAGCTACTCTCAGTGAAGTTAAGGAGACTTGCCTAGGCTGCCTAGACCTTGACCGAGAAGGGGGGGTTGAGGGGTATTCGTCCAACACCACTAGAGTTAGAGGAGGTAATATACAGCTTGTAGAAAAAGACTGGTATATTACAGGGCATTCTAATCGTTCCAAGCTTAACTGAGGATACTGAGGGTAGCGCCAGGGTCATGTCCATGCGGCCAGTATCTTTGGAACCGGACCGGACATGGCCGCCGGAATTGCGAGGCTTTGCTTTGCGAGACCCGAGAAGAAACTGCGACCCAAAAGGGTCTGCAGGTTCTGGGTGATCCATGCAACATGCCCTTGAAGAAGAGTTGGCCTCCACCAATCCCCGTTGGAACGGCACTGTCGTGTTCGCCGCTGGTCTCCAGCTCGGACTCGCCCAATGTTAAATGATGTCATGCCAGCACAAGATCGACGCCGGACTCATTCTTGTTCTTTTTTCTCGAAGTGATCCGCCATTCAGTCAGAGAGATGCTTGGAGATGGATGTTTGTTGAGATGAATGGGCCATTCCTCCATAGAATGGCATCAAGTTTCTTTGTTCCACAGACGTGTGTACTTGGTGGACGGCCTCAGTTGAGCTCCTTTTCCACGGCCCTGGGCCTTGGGAAACCCATGGCCCACGTGCGAAACCGTGGGATAGCACCGCACCAGCGAGCAAGGTGCGTGAGGTTAAGAGAAAGGGAGACTAAATGCAAGATGGTCGAGCCGACGTACCTGTTCCTCCTCTAACTAGAATGGTGGTGAATTCATTCCAAGGGGCACGGGAGTCAACACTATAAACACAAGCCTGGAGAGAGAGAGAGAGAGAGAGCGAGCGCGAGGGAGGGGAAGGAGGGAGAGAGGGGGGAGAGGGAATCAACACACAAACTGGATGACGGAAAATACTCTACACTACATGAAGCACAGCAAGCCTTTTCCCTTTTGAGATGCGTCCAGACTCCAGACGTTATGGGTCTTTTGTTTTGGATTTTCCTGCCTTTCCCCGTCCCTCCACTCAGCACTGCAGATCTTGGAGCCCCTCCGGAGCCATCCCAGGCCGCCGAGAGGCCTTGGAGAAGAGCCTCGAAGCCTGGAAGATGGTCACCTTCGGCGCAGGCCGCGCCCGGCGCGGGGAAAAAATGGCTCAAAGAGCGGTCGGCGTTCGGGGGCCGAAGTGTGGACCTGGGTTTGTGGTCCAGGTTTTCCAAGCTTCGGGGTGAGAAAATCTCGACACCGGATTCATAAACACCCCTTTCTCCCCCCCAACAAGGTCAACAAGGTCTGAGATTGGAGGTATTTGAGGACCACATCCCCTTAATAAGAGGAGATGGCATGAGACAAGGGTGGATCAGAAAATCAGTTTCACCATGGACCATAAGATATTGAATAGTAGCAAATAAAGTACTGTATATATATATATACTATAAAAAAGAAGCAAATATAAAACCAATTATATCTTTTTCGGGGGGAGCTGGGATTGATTAATAGGGGGAGGTTTCGGTTTCTGGTTGAGAAAAAAACTATTAGGGTGATGCCACGGTGGAAATCTTGGTTTTAAATTCGTTTAGTATTGGGGGGGTCGAGCTGGGAGGTACTTAATAGGGGGTACTTAATCCAGCTGTCATTATGTTCATCGTCTCTTCATGTCACCTTCTAAGGGGTGGGCATGACTGGGCAAGAGTTTGCTAACCCCTTGACCTGCTCGAGATCAGTACAGCAAAACAATCGTCCTGTTGCGAACATCCCAGAAACCAGTTCTAGGAGCCTAGGTTGATTTTGATTTGAGGTACTGTAGGTGGGGGGTTGGCAGGATGTTGCATGCGTGAGTTATAGTGTCCAGCCGCAACTCACCTCAGGATATTCGGCAGTCCTTTCTAAACTCTTTCTTGGAGGTCGCATGCAGTCCTTGGTCACCTCGTTTTTGGAGATCGGTGGAGTGTTGTTTCGCAGATCTGTCTCTCTCATCCCTCTCAACAGCTCTATCCTGGTTGCGTGGCCCACCAGCTTCCGCTTCCGGCCGAAGGGGGGTATCTCCCAGGTGAGGCTTTGGAAGACCTCGTCCCCTTCGCCGAAGACGTCCCCGTCACCGACCTGGACTTTGAGGACGAGACCGAAGGAGAAGGCGCCATGTCAGCGGGAAGGGTCATCTCTAAGCGTGTGCCGAAACAGCCCTGATAGCGTAAGATCATGTCGAGCAAATAGATTTGATATGGGTTCATTCATGTTCATTCTTCCTTTAGTTTGCAATTTACTAGTGAATGGTGTGGGTCATGGGGCACCCACTTCGGAGCTATGGCTTTACTGATTCAAGACCGCTATGAAAGCCCCCCTGGTCTGAAGTCAGTGAGGTAGCATGAGGTACCCATGACAGAACACCGGGCCGACCTCATGCCTCACAGTCGAGCCAAGATGGACGGCCCACATAACGACTAACTGCGACTCGCAAGGAATGCGGGAAGAGATCCTCAGGATCCTGAGGATAAGATATAATATATCTATTATATATATATAGATAAATATGTAAATATAAGAAAAACATATATTAGGGGTCATTCTTTTATTCTCTACAAGTCGCACCGATGACAATGGTTGTAAGGACTCTGCTTCTAGGCGTGTTCAAGGTCGCTGTTGTTTTCTTTTTTCTACTGTGTAATCCGAGGCACGTCAAGAGTATGTGCATCCGGACGACAAATGTCCCTCAGCCATCCTAGCATTAGAACCTGAATGCGACGGACAGTTTGCACCAACCATACATCCCACTGTCAGACGCACACGAGCAACATGGTTGCCCACACAGGGCATGTAGATGTTGAAGTGGGACTGTTCAGGGCGTAGGCGTAAGCACCTTAGAAGAAGAGGGACTATTCAGACAGGGCATAGACATTTTCACTCATCTCATCATCGCTCATAATGGTCCTCCTTTGTACTGCCTAAAGTTACATCCTGGGGCTGCACTACGGTTTTTGACATTGTGAAACTACAAAGATGTGTTGTTTTCAATCTGTATATGGCATGTCCCACACAAAGAGATACATTCTGAAATGGCCTCTAAGTTGGAGAGGAGGGGCTGCAAGATATATATATATATATTACTGTATATAAAATTGAATAAAGGTTGTTTCTGGGGGTGTCAGGGGACAGGATCAAACATCCAGGGGTTTGTAAAGGCTACTGGTAGGTTCATGATTTTTGAATAACAATTTGGATGTCTTCCCAGCTTGGAATAGATTCTGAAGCAGATTTGTTCTTGCTCCGGCCTCAGTCCATGGCTCAGTCCTGCAGGCTTCCTGTGGCAACCAGTGGACGAGGAGGTGGCACAACGTTGCTTGGTGGAGGTGCTGAGCTAGGGGTCGTTGCCCGCAGTAGAGGGAGCGGAAGGAGCTAGGGGTTGGCATCCTCTCTTAGAAGGGAGCCATGGAGCTTCAAGGGGCACTACGCACTGCAAGCAGTGGGAAGAGAACAGGGGAGCTCTCCGAACAGAGCAGTTCGCTCGAGAAGACGACCATGTAAGACCCAGGCTGGCAGGCTGTGAAGACCCAACTTCGGGGCGATGTTCAGCAGCGGTTTTTTCTTCAGGTTTGCCTAGCGTGGTCCAACTTGCTTTGTGAAATTGAACAGCATGGACATCTGCCCGCTGGTCGGCGGCACACGTGCAGACTTGCTGCAGGGTTTGTGCGCTTCCCCACGTTAGGGTGAGTGAAAGGGTTGCTCAGTCGGAGTAGAGGCCCATGATTTTTACCACCAGCTTGTAAGGACTAGTAATGACATGTAATGACTAGTGCTCAACGAGGCGCCCATCACACTCCATCCAAGGTGTCAACAACATGATCACGACGGTCCTGGAGAGCCTTAGATGAGCCGTTTCACCCTCGCAGAATGGACACAGCAGATGCCACATGTGCCACTCTCGAATGTAGATGGTGCATACATGCTGTGTCGGGGGGGGCAGGCCTCAATGGAAGAGCAGTTGTTCGACATGCTTTTTTGGCTTGCATGATCGGGCCTGCCTGCCTGCCTCTCCGGCGCCAAATGTGGAGGAGAAAAAGGGCCGGAACTTCGCATGGGGGGCATCCGCATGCGGCGACTCCATCCGTCAGACGTCCGAAATTGGAGCCGCCCCATTCGGTCGCATTGGAGCGCCCCTTTGTCGGCCCTCCCAAAGGCAAAGAGTCATTTCGCATCATTTGGCCCAAAGGATAAGAATCCTTTGGGTCCAAAGCAAGCGCTTTCCATGCTCGGATCTTTCTTAGAGTGAGTTGATCCCAAAGACAACTTTCAGGTTTAGAACTCCTTAGTGCTGGGAAAGTTGCTGTTTTTTTTTTCATTTTCCTCTGAGCCGGAGAAGTTATAGTGGAAGGCTTTAGCATGGCATGGCATTTCTCCATATTTCGCCCCATGTAGATGATTTGTGTGAAAGAACTGGTACTGTAGATCCACAGGCTAGAGGACCTCCAACAAATCTTCGTCAAGCTGCCTGTTCGGGGATTGATCCAGTTTCCACTTTCCATTGCCAGGACGATGGCAAGCAGCATTTGAGCCATTGGCCTACGGGTTGGTTTGTGACATGTGCAGAAGTCAGCGAAGCTTGAAACATGGTCCTAATAGAAAGAATGCATCGGGAAAGTTAAAGATACGCACGTAGAAGCTGAACCCTGAATTCGTTAAAGGAACATCGTCTTGCAGCAGTTCTCAAGTTCATTTTGGATTCTGACATTGGTCAGTCAAATCTTTTGGGGCAAGGGGCCTAAGCCAGGGTGTAAGCATTCGGATATCATGATCATTCACTCGAAACCCGAGCCTTTGCATAGAACATGGGAGACTCCTGAAGGAGGTTGGGAAGAGGACTCGTTCCCAACCACCGACACCTGGTGAGTTCGAGAGAAGAAGAACCCAGTGCTGACCCAATCTATGACCCAATTGAGTCTCCTAACATCAGCTCCCCAGCTTGCAACTCCAAGACGGATGTGGGTCGATGCAGACGATACCGATGGTTTGAAGCATCGATTCTCAATGGACGGCTGGGGTGATTGATTCACTCCAATGACTTGTTATGTTGTTCGGTGAGCCACCAACCTGCTGAGCACCCGAAACTACCTCTATCAGATGCGGTTTTGGTTGCCCAAACTGCAGAGTGAGGCCTAGCACTGACAGCCCTGGTCGAGGCTGACCCGCTCGAACAAGCCGGTTTCCTGTTTCTTCTAGATGGACAATGTTGATTAAAACCACCACCCCAATGGAATCCAATGGAGATGTCTAACCATTTTGGCCGGTGGCTTTTGTAACCAGAGCTGACGAGAGTGCCGATTTCGTCCAAAGAGAACCCCCTGGGAACTATGCTCGAATCTGGGGTATCGACTGTAACTTGCTGTGAGCGGGTGTGCGTTACAGTCTAAAACTGCCTTTGTCCATTTGAGTTTGGTTTTCCATGTGTCATAAACTGCCACAATAGAACATCATTAATTACATCAGATTAAATATATCAACATATGATACGCTGGATTGTCTTCCTATCTCTTACACTGTTCCAGCCGCAAATACACATACCCTCCCACTCACTTACCTGGAGGTGGAAAACCACCTGTTTGGTTCCCAGTTTCCCCTTCCACTTCCATGATGTGTACAGGACGTCTTCCATGTCTGTCTCTGCCACCTTCCCTGCCACATTTGCCACACCCGCACCGGCCACGATCCGACCCTCTGCGTTTTCGACGGACGTGCCGACCGGACAGGCGCCCATCTTCGTGGTGTGCGCGCTGACGGGCCTCGGTTTGCTCGTCTTCGCCATTCAGCTCCTGCGGCGCCTCAGGCGGGGAGAGGAGAGGCGGGGCCGTTCCGCGGTGCCTTGAAAAAGTAGCCCTGAGGGCCCCTGGTGAATTGTGTGTTTGTCTTTCTTGCGGGGGTCGGTGACCTGAGTGATTAACACATATATATATATATACCAGCACCCTCCAACAGGTCACCACCTGCGACTTTTAAGTCAGCAAAAGCCTCCAGAGGAGACCTGTTGGAGGGTGCTGGTATCTATATATATCTAGTGTATGATCAGATCAGAGTATCTGTCATACCGTCGACGCAGATCGTCCGACGCGTGAGGTATATATATATATATCTAATCCGCACTAAGACATCTGAGATCGGGGGGCCATTTTTGGACCAGCAATCCTCGCTGGATTCTGTTTGACACGTTATGGCGCCTTCGGTTCCTCGCTTGGCCTCTGTTTCAGACACCGCAGCATCGAGGCGTTTGCGCTGGATGCTGCGGAACGAGCAGGTGATTGCAGCCTTGAGAGCTGGTGTCCGGTCGCCAGGTGCTGCTTTTAGTGGGGTTGGAGTTGTTCTCACTTTGAGAATCACTGGCGAACCTGCAGAGAAACGGCCACATGCCATTCCGAACCCCGGCATGCTTGGGAGCGCTCCCGCTAGCAGCTAACACGTACACTACACCTCAAAACAGACCTCCACCAGGATGTGAGATTTGAGGATGTATTTGTTTCTTTCCTTTGTTCCCTCCTGTAGAACACCAACATTTAGTTGTGAACAGATGCTGTATACAGTAATCTATTCCAATCACTGTCTTCTTCAACACCACAGCCAGGCATGGGTGCCTTCCATCCTCAGGCCATTTTTGGAGGAACTTCTGTTCAACAGGGTGTTTTTCATTTTGGAGCACGAGTGAGGCCGCGACCATGGATCCCGTGACCTTCAGCTCGGAGGGCAGCACTGAGGAGGCTTTTGCGCGAGACTGCATGGGGAGACGGGACATCAAAGGCCACAGACAAACCCCCAAGAGAGATAGTGACCAAGGAATCCCATCTCGGCATGTTCAAAGCGTGAGGAAAACGCCAGATTTGGCGGTCGATGGGTGTAAGCCGGTTGTGATTCTAAGTATAGGATTTTGTCCATCAACAACATGTGAGATGGAGCCTTGAAGGCCTTGGCTAGCAATTTTGACGCATGGTCTTTTGATGTCTTTTGCGTGTACTTTTGAGTGTCCAAATTCAAGCCGTAAGCCTATAGGTCAAAAGTCCATGGTGTATCGAAGCCTAACACCGACACCTTGCCCGTAGTTGAATGGGCCAAGAAACTGTAAGACTCCCATCATTTGTGACCTGGGAGTTCGCTGCCAGGCCTTCTTCAAGAGGTCAGGGACTGGAAATCGCTGGGTGTCGCAGGTCTATGTCTCCCAGAGGAGCTCCAGCACGGCTGAGCCGATGATGCCCACCCTGAGTGCCTTGGAGCGAGACCAGTGAGGCGGAGAGCTGTTACCTGAGTAGATGGCTCCGTAATACTGTAGCTCCGATAGCTATAGCTATGTGGTCATTGTTTTTTCCAGTCTTTCCACATGCGCAGCCACACCCAAGGATCCGACAGAACGAATCACTGGAGTACCTGTACATACCTGTACATCATATTATCCTCATATTCTAATACATAAGTCAATGATTTTGATACGTTGAGTGCGCACTCCTTGGTATTTACATGTCATGACTTTGGTGGTATTTGCTTGTTTTTGTCGGATGCCGGTCCACGCCGCTAGTCCGGACCCTGTGGGGAGGTTCGGAGCGGGACCTGAGTCATCGCAGGGTCTGGGTGCGGATTTGATATGGTGCCGAGCCAAGGCGGCCTTAGTGGTCAGTACCCTCCCTGCCAGAAACATGGAAGTGGACAAGCCCCCTCTTGGTGGAGGAAAATCGTCTGGGAAAATGAGGCCATTGTCCACTTCCGTGATTGTTTCATTCATATATTCAAATATATATATATATATATAATATATATGTATAAAGATATACAAGAATGAGGTTCAAGCTTCACTAAATGCACATTCATGCACGTTTTTTGGGGCAAGCACCACTACTACAGACAGTGACTAGAGACACCTTTTGGGAAGTGATCCTGAATCCTGAAGAAGGACTAGATTTGTGGACATTTCTAGCATATAGCTGAATCTCTCAATCCAACATTTGTTGGACTCCGCTTCGAGTTGTTTCTGGCCTTGAGCATCTTTGAGCTCCCAACCAGCCGCGCATCGTGGAGCCTCCGGACACCACGATCCGTTGAGCAACATGCTTGGTCTAGGTGCTTCTGTGAATGCGAACGCAGAGAGCGAGAAGGTGCCACTTGGGAATGGAAGGCTGGCCGCCTGTGGTCCGCGGTTGATAGAGCCAGAGCTCTGACAAACACCAAGGACGAACACGATCTTCCTCGGTTTTTGGGTTGTTCTCACTCTCCCTTAGGCCGTTACCCATGAGTTCCCTTGGTGGTACCCAATGGACTCAGGCACACCAACTTCTCAGGCGACCTGAGCGTTCCTTGCATTTCCTTGCAGGTTGGCTCAAATATATAGATGAGGAAGTTCTGAGTATGGCCCACGTGAGCTCTGAACTTGCAGGCTGATTCAGAAGGATGCATAAGTAGGCCCATGCATGCCCACTTAGATAGGAAGTCGACCCGGGCCCGAATCCGGGGGCGGCCATGCCTGTGGACCTGACCATTGCCGGTGCCATGGGCCTGAAGGCCGTCGCGGCCGCCAAGGCGGCCTCCGCGGCGGCGAAGCAGGCAGCAGCACAGGCCATCGCCATGGCGCAGAACACGAACTTAGCGGCGCTGCAGGCGGAGCAAGCACAGGCGAATTTGGAGAAGTACGTCTACGGTGTGCCGGTGTCGTCGATACCACCAAGTGTGTCGCCCATGCCACCAGCTGCTATCCATCCATATCCCATGAAGGCTGAGATTCCTCTGGGCGGGCTTGCATTTGCAGCATGCGACGCCATGGGCAAGTGGCGAGAGGGAGGGCAGATGCAGCGAAGTTGCACCAGGGCCTTGAAGAGAGACCTGGGAAATCGCTTCTTGTAATTCGCACCCAGAGCAGCTGGACACGCTTGACAGCGCTCAGCTCCTCGCACCGCTAGCTTGTGAAAAAGAGCCGAACTTCGCTCGACCAGGTCTTGCCCGGTGACGCTCTAAGACTCGAATGCCTTATTATATACGGTAACTTCTGGGGGTTGTACCTTTTACTTCCCTCATGTTGAAGTTGAGGAACTCCTTCACCATTGGATTCACGGCATCCGCGTGTGGGAATTCTGGGTCAGTTTCCAGTTGGTCCAGGACTCAGTTTGTTCTTCTTCTAGGACTTTTGTGGCAGGAACCTGTGGCTTGAGCCGATGGCGGTCCTCGTTCCTTTGTTACATGATTTGGCGAGGCTGTAGGTTCTTACCTTGGTTTGTTGCAAGATGGCAATCAGATGATTCCGTGATGCTCCAGCTCTGGGCACCAAGACGTAAGAAAACCTAGGATGTGTGCCATTACCAGTAACAGTAGGTAGGTAAACAATTGTCACTACTTTTGGGAAGGTTTTTTTCCATCCATATACTAAACAGCATGTATCCACTGTTACCAGCATCATGAGAGATGCCCAATGAAAACTACAGCAGGATACAGTGGAGAATGCTGCTGTGAAGGCCACACGGTTCGCCTGGGTGTTCAAATGAAGAAAGTGACAGCACCTCAAGGCAACGCACGTGAACATGCACCACCGGAGCATTCTCTTCAGCTTGTGACTTTGATAATGCATGAATCGCCTCGGCCGTGCGTCAGTCCACAATCAGTCCGATGATCACGCATGAATGGTTGTCGTTTTGACAAAGAAAGCTGGGAGAAGAGTCCCGATGCGTCTTCAGACCTCCTTTGGACCCCATCCACAGCGCCTTGCGCGGTCATGGGGATGCTGGTTATGTTCAATGGTGCATGGTGAAAAACAACAGCTCCGCAGAGAACTGCTTTGGCCAACTCGGACTAGTCGAGAGTTTAGCTTGGCAAAACGTGTCCCTGTCGACTCTCGATGTGCTGTGGAGGATGCCCTAAAGCATCGAAAAGCATCCGCCGGACACGACCCCGTCGTGTCCAACTGAAACTCAGCACAGGAGTCGGAGGCGCCGCCCGGGCAGGTGCAGCCGACGGGACGGGAGGGGTTGGCCTCGGGGAGGCCAGTGGGCATAGCTCCTGAGTGGGCCCTGAGTTCTGGACTGAATGTGTTGAACGGAAGGTGTGGCAAACAGAGCAAGGTTTGGAAATGACCACTTGGTAAGGCTGAGGTTGGTGAAGCCAAAGAGGGCTTTGGTAGGTGTAGATGTGTTCATGTGTATTTGTTATACATTTACTACACAGCACACCACTGTTTTCTCTTTGTTCATGTCTGCGAAGAGACAGTGCTGAGGAGCTGGAGGGTCCTCAATCCTCCTGACGAGCATCCAGATGAAATGAGCTTAATGGAGACGAGTTCCTAGCGAGTCTGAATGCTCAACCTTTGGACTGCCATGTAGTTTGCAACTAACTGGCCAACTAACAGACAGACTGAGTGACTAAGCATGGATTTACATGGACTTGCACTTTCCGAGTCCAACTGGGGGAATGAACGTTTGAGTGGAGGTAGGTTTTCTTTCCTTCACGTCAGCCGTTTGGGAGCAGAAACAGCAAGCACCAAACCAGCATCGAGCTGATTGAAGCTGGATTTGTCAGGCAGCAGGTATACTGGACTTGCCTTGAGGGGCTCAAGATGACCATCATATCCACAATGCATACTGATTCATGCAGGCGATGCAGGGCATTAAAATGCAACTGCATAGTAGCACTCCTGCGACCCTTCCTCTTGGACAGCATTGAAACCGGGTGCTGCCTCTGTGCTGGAAGGGGAATGTTCCAAGAATGACGACGACGATTTGACCTACAGCATCGTAAAGACAATTAGGCATCAGCTCTCAGATGTGGTCAGGGAGTGTTCTAAGTTCTTCAGCCCGCACAAAGCCCGGCCAAGCAGGATTCCTTCTTTTCTGCAGAATCAATGAACTCAATCTCATCCTTTGGCTTCTTTCTCCTGCATTGACGGCCAACGCGTTCTGCTGCCCAAAGCGCCATGCCTGGTCTGGCCATGAAGCCCCACACGATGACTTCCCTTCGCTGTTTGGCCAGTGGAGTCATGGGGGCGGGGCAACAAGTTGGATCAGTGCATGTTGAAAGGACTTGACAATATAGAGGTCAATCCCCATTGCTTTGCGGGGAGACCCCTATGTTGCAGACAAAAAACCCACTATAGGTCAATCCTACATAATCCTACCTGATCGTTCGGTCTTCGTTCTGTTTGTTTTTCTGTTTTCTGTGCTCTTCGCGGGGTTTCTTGGGGTCCGACCGTTGAAGTTTCCTCTCTCCGAGTGCTGTGTTTTGGAGCTGGGACCTTGGTTCTCCGATCCCTCAAGCAGAATTCAGAATGGGTGGGTCGCGGAAAAGAGCGCGGAAAAGAGCGAACGAAAGCAATCGAGAAATCAGATGGGTTGGCAGGGTTGGTGTTTAAATTGGGGAACCTTTCAACCACTGGATTCAGTTTGTTGTTGATTTTCCCAGAAGTCTTTGGGGTCTCCTTATTCTAATGCACACCCAGCTGTGTATGAATTTCGCTCTTGCGAAGTCTTGGCATGTCTTGGCAGATGTGAATCGCTTGGGTTTTGGCAGGTGTGCCGCGGTGTGCCCTTTCACCAGATAGACTCCCGAAAACTCACATAGACCCTGACAAGATAGGCCCCCCTGGAAAATCTCTTTTCCTCTACGACACCAGTGGTTTTTCAGTGGTCCATGTCCATGTGATCATCTTCTAGGGTGTATGTACCATGATGTGCATCCGGGAATCCCCCATGGTTTGGTGTTGAATCCCATGCATTGGTGTTGAAAAAGCACACGCAAAGGAGAAGCCTCCACTGCGAGAGGTTCATGATGTTCATCCTTAGCCCAGAGGACCGGCACGTATCCGGCACGCACCCGACCGGAAATAGGACACGGTGGCCATGGATCACTGCAGGGTGTTGGAACGACCAAGTCAGTCCGGTGCCATATCATATCGATGGTGGATAGGTCAACCGACCAGGTTGAAGAATTTTCAGGTGATTGACACCATCTATCTCTACACAATCAGCCCAGCTTGGAAGACTTGCCTAGTCGGGCGATCCAGGTCTGATCAACTCCTTTCGCGGCCTCCTAAGGCCCCGGCAGCAGTGGCGAGGCCGTCACTTTGGCGCCCGTGCTGCCGAAGCCGGGGCCGGCCCTTCCGGTGGCCGGTGCCGGCACGTGGGTGGGGACGGGGATTTGTGGCTCGGTTTGGAAGGGGATGGGAGATGGCAGGACATGGCAGGACCGGAGTCTGGAGATGGAGCTTGAGTTGCTGAAAATGCTAAGAGATGGCGGGACTTGTGAATTAGCTGAGTTGTTGCGTTTACAGCCAGTACTTGGTTCCAGTTCGTTTTGAAGCTCCAGGTGTGAGACCTTGACTTGTTGATGTACCTGGTTCCGAGATGTTCCGAGGTGATTTACGCGCCTCCTTGGTGGCGCAGCAGAAACAGTTGGATACGCTCGTCGACCGCGTGGCGGTGCTCTTATCCTCCATGCATGCTGAGGCTCCTCCAGGGTCTCACCAGGAGCTCCAGGGTCTCAAACCTGTGACCTCCTCGGTTCTTTGAGGATGGGCACGCCCACGCAGGAGCAAACAGACATAAACATCAACAAACACGGTCAGTCAGTCAATGAACAGGTTGGGCCTCCCAAGTCCCCAAAACTGCCGCTCAGCCTTGGCACTGAAAGCCGTTCAGAGCGGGCTGCTGGCCCGACTCGTTTCGACCTCAAATAGGTCTCATTCAGGCTTGGTTTGTCAAAATGACTGCAGACATAAAACTCGGCCTCGCCGCCATGTGTCGAAAAACATGCAACGAAGCATCTTCAACTTGGTCAGGGTGATAACTTGGTCGACGGGTTTTTGAGTGTCGATTTTTCAATGTTTGATTGTCTTCCGAATGCGCTCCACCACCCATGGGAATTGTATTAGGGTCCGTCAACCCACGTGTTAGGAGGTTTCCCTTTAAGTCAGTGGATTGAGTACATTGTCCTCAGATCGTAGGCGGGCGTCGGCATTCAGAATACATCTGACTCCAGCAAGCGGATCCAGCGCTGGGACTCCCCACACCCCAAACCTGCCACAAAAACCAACAAATCCGCCCCATCATGCCCCATCCCCCCCAGTAAAAAGCACACCCAACCCATCAACGAAGCCGTTCTTTGGTTCGCGACACGCCATAAATCGGCAGGTGCTGCAGGATGTGAGGGCAGCTTGTGACAGCAAGGACTTCGAGCTCCGCTTGGCTGAGATGCGGAAGGTGGGCGAGGCACGACCTAGAGCTTCGGTCGGCGGTGAGAAGCGGAGCTTCGGAGCTGCGGCTGAGGAGAGAGGCAGAACCGTTCGAAGGGAATTGCAAAAGAGAATGATAGGGACTTTGGAATGATAGGGACTTTGGAATGATTGCAAAGGGATGCATAGCTTATTGTATCTTATTATTGTTTCCAATCTGCCATCGATCCGCAAGCGGAAGAATGGAGCACCCCAGCACGGAGGCTTTGCGCAGTGTTCACCCACACCGAAAAGGATATTGGACCGCGGACGGCCGAAGGTTGAACCTGCCACCTCCAAGGGGTTCACAACTTGGAGACCTACAAGTAGTGTAGGGTTGTTCATTGGTGACCCCGCAAAGGTTGTGCAGCGCTGGATGCAGCTGGTACTGGTATGTGTTGATTTTGTTTTTTGTCAATGCGCATCTTCGGCCTTTTGGTGGAGGGTCCTTCTTTTGGCCATCCATGTGGCCATCCCGAAGCGGCTGCTCAAGGTCTTGGATCAGCGCTTGGCAGAGATGCGGGCGGAAGCTGCCAATGTGCCAGATGGGCTGAGGCCTGTGCGACATGACTTGCAATGGGTGGCACCCACCATGCCATGTATGGCGATGTCCTGCGGATCAAAGGAGCAACCCAAGAAACACAAGAACATTCTTCTAAATGGAGATGTTGGAGGCTTTTTCATGCTTTGAGGTGTCCTTGGATTTGCCGACGGCACATTGAAACCAGTATGTGAGCTGCAGAAGGTCTCAACACAGCGAAACAACCACGGAGCCTGTGTATACACTACACGTTGGTCCAAGTGGTCGACCCTGTGCTGCCGAGTCCGGTTCAGCGGTTGATCACGGTGAAGATTGAGAGAATTGCTTCGATGGCAACGTGTCATGCAGCAGGGCATAGGCATAGACCCCTCATGCCCCAGCACGGCCACCAGCCACCACGGACATGGGTTGTGTTGGTCCGAAGGGTCCGAACTTGTCCGAACGGTCCGAAGCTGACGCCCTGTAGGCTGATGCAATCGGAGCTCAGACGCGTCGAGGCGCGGTGTGAGTTCGCAGGAAGGGTGATGAGTGCATGATATTACATGACCGTATAGAAGCCTTTCACGGTGGGTCGTTTTGTTCTTGAAGCCCAAGAATCCCCCTGGCACATGGTTCCCATCCTCAAAGCGTGTTTTCTGCGTTTCGTTGATTTGGGATTCAGTGAAATCCTGTAATTTCCCCAAGCATCCTCAAGCGTTCTTTCGATTCTTTATATAGATTTGGACATTCCAAGTGGGCCATGAAACCCACCTGGGAGAGTGTGCGGCTGAAATGATTTGCCTTGAAACATGTGAAACCAAAGGAGAAGATGGAAATCTTTGATGGCCGCATGACACAGGACTTTGAGTGGCTCGTCACTGGTGGATTGGTGACGAGACTGCTCAGTGGCAAAAGCCAGGGCTTTTTTACCACTGAGCAGTGGGTGGTGATTTGGTCGAGCTGTGCAAGAAAGGGACCTGCCCGCCAGATGTGAGATACGAGAACCAGACGGACAAGCAGACATACCGGGCCATGGGATACACCAAGTTATATATAATGTATTATAATGTATAAAGTCGACTCTTGCCCCCATTTGGATCCTAAAGCCTCTTCATGTTGTTGTCAATTCTAAGAGTTTACACGATTGTGTCAGGCCCTGCCCCGCCCCCACCGCCGTGTCCCTGGCCCGCCTGCCCCGCACCCGTCCGCCTGAGGAAGTTGCAGGGCGTCGTCACCGAGAGCCTGATGTCGGTGCACGACCGCTTCACCTCCGAGATGGAAGGCCAGCAGGGTGGTGTGCGACCGGCTCAAGGGAGGTTGAGACTGGGAAGGTTTTGATGGGAGACTGGGAACCTGTTTCGCCGTTGTATTAGGGGTGACAGATGGTGAAAGCTATGGCAACCCTGAGGCGGTTTCCTGTAGGCGGTTTCCTGTAGGTTTCTCCCTTACACCAACCCCTTGAGCAACCCCTTCTCGAGGCGTGGTGGCTGAGCTGAAAAAGCTGGAGGGCCGCCTGGGCTCCGCAGAGACGGAGCGCGGAAACGGGGTGGAGAGAGAGGTGGAGTGGGCAGAGGTGGGACGGTCGGAATGGAAGACTGAGAGTGGGTTCAGTATGGTCTAGACCATGTCTTTGTTCATTGGATGTCACATGAGATCCCGCGCCGTGCTCTGATCCTTTGCCCTTACCGTCCTGTTTCTTTTCCTGGCAGGACTTGGGCCTCCTAGGAGATGACGACCTGGAAGCCACCTGCAGGGAGACAATCCAGCAGACTGCCAGTAGTTTGCGGAGCGAGTTCCAGACCTATGTGGTGCCCTACTTCGTGCCTGGGCTGCCTCAGTATCCATTCCGAACCCCACAATCAAGCAGCTGTTGCTGTCTTGACCATTCTTGACCCTTTTCCTTAAAAACAGGACTGGAGAAGCAGCAACTTGGCTCAAAGGCTGAGCGCCTGCTGGAAATGCTGAGTCAATTTCAGCACCGACTTACCCGGGACGTGGCATTTCAAGGCTTTGTGGCCGGAAAAATGCTGATTCGGTGTCAAGGTCAAAGCTTGAGATTTGCCAGTGGCCAGACGTCCGTTTCAATTCACACCCTGGCGATCTACATACATGAACAAATCAATGGGACGTTTCCCAATATCTTCCACCAACTCTTGCAGCGGGTCGATCTTCTGGAATACCCCAATGACGGATCCAGAACCATTGTGTCACTAGATGATGCACGTGTTATTGTCGAGGACATTGGTGCCCATGCTGATGAGTTGGAGGCGTTTGTGGCCGAGGACCACCTATTGGACAAGTCCATCGGGTTTCCGGAGCCAACGCAAGAGCATGCCAGTCAAGAGCCACGCCTTCGACATCCCCGCTATGCCCTGCATGGTTTCAAGGGCAGACTTGGGGGCGGGTCCTTATCAGCCGAAGCTTGTGTGGAAGATCTACCCACACAAGAGATTCTGGCGAGGATAAGACGCGACGCCATTGGCCTTTGGTACAAGAAGGTAGGGACAGGGTATGTTGTACGCTCGCTGAGTGGCATGTACAGGCTCAAAGCTTCTTTGATTGATCACCTTCCAGTGGATGGCCACTTCAATGCATGGTATAACACGCACAGGAGCGAAGGATGGAAGCCATGTGCTGGACCATGTGCTGGTCACAAGGACGTGCATTGGTATGAAGTGGCGACTGAAGACCCTCCGTTTATCTCCAAGCAATTTCAGCAAAAGGCTTTTAAGGGGTGCGTTGGATACTGTAGAACAGCCCGAAACCAACAAGAGAAAGAATGACATTGAGGCCACGCTCTCGAAGCTGAACACTGGATTATCATTAGAAGCGCAGCTTCTGGACATGGACTCAGCCCGCAGCTTGAGAAAGACAGCCCGCAATACGGGACCTTTCGCACTTGCATTTCAACCGTAGATGTGAGTAGATGTGTATATATCATCGATATGTCATCGATATCATTGTATTATAAATTGTAAATCATTTTCAATCTATTTAAGCCTGACTGCCTAACTCAAAGCAGCCTCTTAGAAGCCTAAGCCTGTCAAGCGATATGTCATTTGGGTGAGCATTCCGGGGTCTCGACACGTGGTCGAGCTTCCGTCCTAAGGATCAGAATGCCGCCCGGATCACCGCCTTAGAAGACCGCCTCCAGCGGGAGCACACCGAGATGTTGGCTGCGCTGCATCAGACCGTGGCGGCCAGCGGAGTACAGGCACGGAGTACGGGGGAAACGGCGAAACACGTGAGGGTGTGCATGCTTGGTCATGGAACTCGGCAGGTGAATCTAATTGACAAGACGTTTGACAACATAAGTTATCAACAGAAGTTCTTCATGTGGCCTTGTACATGGGTGGGCTTGCCCTTTATCAGAGCAACAAGTTATTTCTTGTGGCCCGGTGGCCCCCCAAATAAGATCGTGGCACGGATTCCAATAGATTTCTTGGTGGGGATCTACTACGTGACTTTTCTATCTATCTCTTTGGGGGTTCTGTAATGTTCTGTTTATCATACACACACGGACCAGGAACACCAAAGTGACCGCCCTGCAGTACTACCCGGTACTAGACTCCCTGCTCGTTTTTGGGCTCCTCCAGTGACGCTTTTCAGCCGATCCAGACCAGGAGGGCGACCGAGCCTTGCAGAGAGATTGGGCCAAGCGCACCAAAGAAGATCTGAGGAGCGGAAAACGGAAAGCGGCATGGACGGGTGAAACACCGGGCCAGCTGATTTTTTCGTGGTAAACTCTTGGAGGCTGTTTTTTAAACATGGTGGATGATTTAGACAATATTAACAAGGAAATCAACTAAATCAGGATCTTGACTACCTCTGATCTCTTTTGTATTTGCAGGTTTGGGATTGGCTGCGTGCCCCTAAGCAGCTTTCCAAAATACATACTGCAGGGATTTGTTTCTTTCTTTGATCATCAGGCCAACTGCCACCACGGTAAGTAGAAGAAAGGCAACCAACATAAAGATAGATAATAGACAGTGACGTCGACGCATTTCGAATCTGAGGAACCTTTCGGACCTCGTCACCTAAGTCACGTTACCGAGCACTTGTGACCGTAGACCAATGAGGCTCTCGGCTCTCCCGCTTAGGCCGTTGAGTCGAACCGCCCGCGCAGGCAGCAGACGGAGGAGATCACGGCGCTGAGGCGAGAGCTGAGTGCGATGAAGTCATGGCAGGCGGAGATGAACGAGACGACTCGGCAGATGAAGCTGGAGCAGGAGGAGACTTGACAGTCTAGGGCCTATAGGGTGGGTGGGCGCCATCAACTCAGATGGATTGAACAATGCCCAAATAAATCAAAACAACATGGACATGTTGAGCTAAGACATGCTGAGACCAATTTTGTGGGGCCCGGTTTGGGAGTTGAACTCATGGCTGCTTCAACCCAATATAACCCCCCGGGCCAGGGCTGCAATAGACAGACATTGCATTTGTTCATAATGCCCCGTGCAGGCCAGTCTTCAACCTTTCTTGGATGTTTACCCACTAGCAGCACCAAGGGCACAATGATACTGGCAGCTAGCAGTTCTCGGACGCGTTTGGAAGATGATCTTCCTGGGAAAGTGCGACGATTCCTGCGTCTGGGGGGTAGGTGACATCTCGACTCAGAGTTCCTCGCGCATGCTGCGCATCCGTCACGCTGGTCTCAGGAGTGCATGCGCCTGAAATCCCTGGAGGAGCGAGTGGCATCCACGAGCACCCAGCACCACGGCGGCATGCGGCCGCGGTTGCGAACACCGCCGGCGCGGCAGGTGGTACTGGGCTTCTTCTGGGCCAACCTACATGCTGTTAGTGTTGATTGGAAGGTGGTTGACACCGTGGCAAAGACAGTCTAGCAAGAACCATTGAAGTTTGGCGGGGGGTCCAACCCTTACAGGTTCCGTGAAAAAAAAGAGACGCCACTACCCACTGGGGAAGACTGGTGGTGCAGAACAACGATTCATCGGTCATGAAGGCTGTTTTTGCATCCTATGCCGGCCTCCTACTCGGCATAGGGTCGCTTTCCTTGTATTTTGCGGCCCGAGTTCGCGGGGTGTCGCCGGCAGGGTGGTGTTGAACCAATTCTGAGTCACTTGGCCCACGCCACGCAAAGCAACCCGACTAGGAAACCGTGAGGTTTGCCATGTCTCCTGGGCCCTTCACCGCACGGCCGAGGCTCAACCAGCTGGAGGAACGCCTGAGCGAGCAAAGCGAGACTGAGAAGCGACTCCATGAACTAGAAGAGATCTTGAGGCCGGGCAAAAGGGAGAGGTGCAGCTAAGGCTGCTAAAGCTGCTTGCTGCAGCATCGGTGTTTGCCCATGTGCACGGCGATGGTGCAACATACCGAAAGCTGCTGATTGAGATTTGATTTTCCCTAGCTGGCCAACAACTCAGACTTACAGATAATAGAGGCATATAGAGGCCAATCAACAATTACGCAGACTCGACGAAGAAACTAGACAAACCCGAAAAGGAGACAAACACAGACACAGACAGACCGGCGGCACCAGCTCACGTGCACACAGACAATCACAAACACACATGTTAAACCCTCCATTCATGTCGGGGTTTCTGTTAGGCTTAGGGGAATTTGTTGGCAAGGAGTTGGGATTGTATCACCTTTCACACGACTTGTTTGAACACGAGATGCCCAGCCCAACGTGAGGAGCTTGGAGCCGTCAGACGCTGGGGCAGAGGTCTGAGCTGTTTGCTTTAGCAGGTCTTTCGCGGTCTTTCGGGGTTTGTTGGATGTTGGGTTCTATTGGGCATGGAGCGTTGTTCTCTAAGCACTCCGAAGGGCCTGGGTTTTCACTTCGACGCCAACCTGACGTCCCATATCAACATATATCAACCACATCACATGGTGGCTGCCCAATGGACAGCCTGTCGCGTGACCTTAGCAACACACCTGACAGACCACGGGACACGAGCCATGACACATCCACGGATTGTTTGGAGCAAACATGCCTTAAGCACGCAGGAAGAGTGGCTTTGCCCTATACTGTTTTAGAGGGTTTGCCTTACATTATGGCATTATGGGTTTGAATGATCCTAACCAATGGATTTAGTCCGTTTTTGGACTTCCCAGAGGTCTTTGAGGGGTCTAAATTTAACACAAACAGTTCAAACAGATATGCTTATATACTAAAATCCTAAAGGCCATTGGGTCGATTGGGGTCTCAAGTCCAGGTCTCTCCTCGGTCTCCTCTCCTCGGTCTCCAAGGAGGTCCAGCCAGAGCTCGGACACGTGGTGGAGCGATGCGTGAGTACCTTGGAGGTCTGCAAACGGACAGACTGAAGAAAGGAAGACGCCAGACCTCGGGGCTCGGGGAGCTGTGTTCGTCAGCTTCGGGGAGGGGACAGATAGATCAGACCCTGATGGGAAAGGGGCAGAGGGAGAGTATACGGAGGGGCACTATCTAGAATCTAAAAGTCTTGAGAAGGGGGAGCGGTGTGTAGCCAATAAATTGAAGTTGAAGATGAGTTGGCATGGAAGGACATGTGAAGGGGAGGGCCAAGAAAATCTGAGGGGCCCCTTCGTGGTATCTCATGAGGTGCCATGCATCACCCTTGCATTGGATGTGAAAAGACTTTCACATAGGTTTTCGGGCCCTGAAAAGATCTAAAAAGCAAGGCTCAACACTACGGCTAAACTGTTTGAGCCTCGAGCATGAAGACTTTCGACTTGCCTGGTGGTTGGTGGATGCGTTCGAAGACGTCGTCTCCAACGGTGTCACAGGAGAAGTTGGACCTCGCAGTGAGTGACTTGAAGAGGACGGCTGGGGGGACTGTGGGTGGCTGCTTAGCACTGAACATCTTGTTTCAACAACGGCATCCTCACTGAGCCTCCCTGCCTCACTGTGAGTGTTTTGGGGGATCCTTTGAGGTGATGCTAGAAACCACCCAAAGCCCTGGCACAAAACCCCTGAACAACATACAGCAGTGCTAGGGACATCCCCCAATCTGAGAGATCTGAGAGCCGGTGCTTTTGTTGGTCCAGGCGTTGATGGATTGTCCCATTTCACGCGGGTCACCTCAAAAACAGGCCAATGCCTTGCCTGTTAAACACCTCACACCCTCAAGCACTGCAACCAAGTTGAAGGGCTTAAATGGGTGGGGCGCAGCGCTCACTGTGCCATACGCGCTGCATATATATAAACTTTCAACGCCACGTCACGTGTGTCATTGGCACAGGCAGCTGGAAGCGCAGATCAACGATCCCAGCGCTCCTCGCGAGATCGTGCAGAGGCCAAATCCATCGCCGTGGGGCCGGGCGAGGGCAAGGGGAAAGGTGAATTGTAGAAGGCAGGCAACTAGTGGCCGCAGATCAAGCAACTTCAAGAACCTAACCTAATTAATACTAATTCCATTCATCCATACATGAAATAACAACAGATGTTTCATGCCCTTTGAGTGTTGAAAAGGGGGGCCAAGCGGCCAGTACTTAAAGGATCTTAAAGTGGAAACTTCAAGCCAGCCTCCTCTTCCACATTAAAAGCAACTCCTGACCAGGAGGAAGGAGAAAGAGAGAGAGAGAATCTCAGAGTCTGAGTCAGAGTCAGAGTCAGAGAGAGCGCGCGAGAGGGAATGGACGCATCAGATGGATTCCCAGACTAGACGAATGGGACTGACGCCAGGTCAACCACCCCAATTGATCGGTAAATCTGCCAGTCCCATGGATGGTCTGATTATGCCAGATTGTATCTGGATTGGAGAGGGCCCAGACCACCCGCGAGGCCCAAAGAACAGATGCCGAGAGTGAGTTTCAAACGGCTTCCCCAGCTCAGTGAACCTGGTTCTCAAGGTTGGCCTTGGCATGCCTTGGCTTCTGAATGAGCGTGCCTTCTTAAGACGGGTGTATTCTTGTGCGCACCCCCACAATAGCACCAATGGCCCGACCTGCACGCTGCACGCTGCTGTTTTGGTCGAGGTGCGCTGCAGAGGTGAAGCGAGAGCTGGAGCAACGTCTTCTGGAGGTGAATGCCAAGACTCAGCTCGCCTTGACGGATCTGCGTGAGGAAGTGGATGCGCGTGCTGCGCAGGTGGGAAAAATATGGAAAAAGCGATGAAAAACGACAGAGTCCGACAGATACTTTGTATGACTCTCTAATGCTTTGAGGATTTGAAACTCTATGCCGTGGCATCACACTGGATGCTCCAAGGTCATTCAGTGCGATGAGATGTGTTGCTTACTGTAGCGTTTCCATTTTCCAGCGGCAGAAGAACTTACCACTGAATCAGCTCGGTCAACCACTATACTTTGTACATCTATGTCTATATCATCTATACACTTGGGGGATGTCAAGGGACCCAATTGAAGCTTTGGCAGGAAAGGATTCCCAAATCCGTAGCCCAGAGCCTTTGGTCATAGGATACAACCAGGGTACCCTTCCACCAATTATAGCCCAAACTTCCTTGAGGCAGCCACCTACTTCAACTCAACGCCACTTCCAAAACGTGAGGGATGGCCGACAGCTGTTGGGCGCCCCTCAAAAACAGCTTCACAAAGAAACTGGTGTCGATCATGTCGATCCACCGGTCGAAGCGTTTCACCTCCGACCTCCCAACAGGTCCAACGGCAGGACGACTTGCGACGAGACTTGGAGCTCAAGCCCCTTGGCGAAGTGGTTTGGGTTCTCAGAACGTTTGGATACGGCCGCCCCAAGTCAGACGTTTAATCTAATACTGATAGATGTTCGAGTTGGACTGTTCTAGCTGTTCTTGGTGGGGCACTGGTGTCGTAAGATCCTGATGATCTCACTTCCCAACTTTCTGATGAATGGCTCGGATGCCTGTCAGTGCTCGTTCCTTGCTGAGTGCCGTATGCTTCCTTCTGATCCCTCTTTGCGATTTCATTGACTGGGTTGGTTTGATTGGCAGTGTGGTCATTGAGTGAATCCATGTCAGGAGGACCTGATAGGATCTCAAAGATGAGGCAACAAGCCCGCTTTGAAGGGTACAGTTTCTAGAGGCATACAGCTCATTCGTAGAGGATCCCGTCACACCTTGACGTCACGTCTTGTCCCGGTGCGGCCCATCATTATTGCACCAAGGTGCCCTCGTTTTCATACATGCATGCATGCATGCATGCATGCATGCATACATACATACACATACATACATATATATATATACACATACATATATATATATATATCTGTATATATACATACATACACACACACACATACATACGTACAATTACATGCATCCAATTACATACATACAATTACACACATACAATTACACACGCAATTACTTACATACAAGTACGTACATACATACATACATACATACATACATACATACAGTACATTACATTAAATTACATTACATTAGAAAACATACATACATACATACATATGCCGAGGATCGAGAAGAGGCAATCCTCCACCGAGATGGCTGTGGAGGAGCAGGGTTTTGTGAAAACACTGCAAATTGAAGCAGCAAGAGGCGTGAAACACGCAACAAACAGATTGAGGTTTTTACCACTCCAAACATGACATACAAAAACATATATATTATAAACCTTCTTACACTATGACTATTTGCACTGTTGCCACTTTTTCTATTTGCGGCCGTAAAGCAACAAATCACGCATTGGTGTTTGGTCCGATGCAGCTGCTGAGCGGTTGTTCCGTTCAGTCTCGGACCTGGCGATGCTGGAGCGAACCAGGAGTTGAGTGCCCAACAGCAGAGCGTGGCCGGGCGAAACGGATGGGTCGACCTGGGGATGAGTCGAGCGGGTTGGCAACCAAGATAGGATCTGTGTCGATGCCACAGAAACATCACAGAAGCAGAATCTGTCTTAATCAGATCTTGGCTGTGAGATTGTTCTTGATTTGGTGGCCGATTAGCTTGCCTCTGATGGGAAGCTGCCTTTGGGGTTTTGGATGGCAGACGACCCTTACAATCTTAAGGGCCCTGCTCGACTGCTGAAACTGCTTCAGTCATCGCCATCGCTAGTGTTTGCACACGGCACACGGCGTGGCTTTTGGTGCTTGGCGTGCTTGGCGGTTTGCTCAGCTCAGGAAAGCAGGAAGCACACGGATGACATCAAGCAGCTGAGCGCTGATATGGAGATTCGAATGGTAAAGGAGCGATTTTCCTTCATGGCACCGATAGGATCTTGAATGATATCAAGAATGCGCTGTGGAAACAATGCAGTTATAGTTGCACCCCTGACATAATCATGGAAGTGGATGGCATGCCTGGCAGCCAACCCCGAAAGGATAACCATTTTCCTCATACCAACCAGGTGTGCCATCCACTTTCCGTGGAGCGTGACCTCGAGTGGGTTTCCTGGCCGCTGGAAACGCCATGCTCTCGCTGCTCCAAACACCGCAGGAGCAAAGTGCCATGCAGCTGGTGACGATGGAGCTGCGGACGGACCTGGTAGCTTGGAGAAGACGAGCACCCGCTGCCACAAACGTCCCTGGTGAAGGCTACCCTCCGACTCACACATCACATGGAAGTGGATGGCATGGCCTTAGGGAAGACTACTTTCCTCTACAGGGTGGTTTCCACTTCCATGTCAGTGAGTCGAAGTGTAACCATCCTTGGACCTGGCGCTTGTTCAATCAGAATCGTGGAATATCGAGGAAGCCTCGCTAAGCCACAGCCCACGTTGCCTAAGGTTTGTTGAAGCAACATCTTAAGAGACATGCCGTCGTTGGAAACGTCCGCAAGCTCACATGACTGGACGCCCTGCAAAATAAACTCCGATGACCTCATTCATGGGCAAGCTTTTTGTCATATTGAATTGCAGGTTGCATGAGGGTGAAGATTGATACATATTGACTCATATTCCCTAGGGCTCCAATCATATCCTCAGGTTCGGTGGTTAGACCCCCCTGGCAGGCCAGGAGCCCTAAGGATTGATATGACCTAACATCGATGGGCATCTCGACCCAGGAGCGAAGTGCCCAGGAGGCTGTGAACCTGTGCAGCGAGGTGTTGCGAGAAGAGCAACACCAGCTGGTGCGGGAGTTCCGCGAGGACGAGCGAGTTCTGCAGTGGGTCTTCTGAGGATGGATTTTGGTGTTTAGGCTTTGCATAGGATAGGAGGTCTTTAACTGAGGCTTGTCATTGGTCCATCTTCTCGCTGTATAGCGCATTATTGGAAGCAGAAATCAAGCACCCACGAGCAAGTACAAGCCAATACTGACATGATACACGCACTCTCTCTCAAAATAGCACTGGACCTTGTAGCAAGGTCCCCCAAAGGAGAAAACCGTGCACATGTCCCACTGCTCCATTGTTTGTTCCGGGATGTTTTTTTAATGTCTCGTTTTTCCGCACCTCTTTGCCTCTTTGGATTGCTGCGCTTCTCTACATCCCCACCTGCTCGATCAGCGGCCCTGGAGCGACTTCGAAGCGGGCGACATTTAGTGGAGGGACTTCTCAGAGTCTCAGAAGTGGTGTTCCGAATGTGGAGAAGGCATGAGAAGGCTGTTGAGTGGCGAGCCTGGCATGATTTTCCGGTGAGCATGGCCCAACCTCAAGTCTTAGTACAGTAGTGTTTTTTCGGATGCCTGCCATGTTCGGAAGATTTTCAACTGGGGGGGGGTTGGCCCCGTACCTGAATTGACGTGTCCGATCAGCCACCAAAACAGTTTTATTTTACTGGCCAGCGATGCCGGAAGATAGATCACTGATTTTTCTATACTTAGTATACAGCAATCAGGATAGAGACATCAGTATAGCCGAGTATAGCCCCTCAGCCTCCCAAGCTATTTGACTTCACTTTCCTTCACCCAGTCCATCAGGAGTTGGAACGGCGCCTCGCCAAATGGACACCGCCACGTGCGACCTCGCATGCTTCGCCCATCCTCATCGAGGCAAGAAGCTCCTTAGTAGAGGGGTGTTCGACTGCTGAGGTGAGTTTAGAGGTACTCCCCTCAGATGTTCCAGATCAACTCCGCAGTGGACTGCCAAACTTGGCCAATCACCCTCTTCAGAAGCTGACAAACTCTGATTTCTGTCAAACATGGCATGACCCCCCGATTTCGGATGAACATGACATCCGAATCCCAAACCGGTGGTGCCCTCCACGTGCCACCAACAGCTAAGTCATGGAAACGGTGGCAGACGATTCAATCTAGACTCCCATTTTCTCCATTATTTAGAAGTAGCAATTACAAAAGATAGATCGATGCAACAAACGTTTTGGACCAGACAATGCAACACTTTACAATACAACACTTTACAATACATTACAATACAACACTTTACTGTAACAATTAAGTAAAAAAGGTGGCAGCTAACACATTGAAGCTCAACTCTTTCATGGACCGTGAGTAGCCTGGCCAGGGTCATAGCAGCCTTGAACTCCCGAAGTGGAGTTGAAGGAATAGCCAGGCAATAGCCATGCAAAGATGGCCTGGCAACGTAGAAGACATCGGCTCCAGTTCCCATGTGGCTTCCAACGTGAGCCGTGTGCAGCAGTAAATAGCTGGAATGGCCGTTGGGTGTTCAAAGGCAGGTTGTTTGGGGTTCATTGCACATCCAACCGTCACGGAACATCAGGGCTCAAACTCCGCGCAAATCATCAGGGCTTTGACGATGTGAATGCGGTGCGGGAGGAGTTGCACGAGTTGCGGGAGCAGGTCGAGGAGTGGAAAGCGCCTTGGGCCTTTCATCGACGAGCAGGTCGAGTAGTGATGAGGGAGTAATCTAGACTCTTGATATCTCTTGATTAATTATACTTCACCACCCCGTATGAAGAGGTTTTTTCAATTCAAACGGGGTGGGGTGATTGATCAAGAGAGTTTAACACATTTCCACAGAGATCCTGAAGGGATCCACTTGACAATGAGACTCTGTTTTCTTCCCTTGGAAGAGTTGTTTTTTTTGACTTTCTTGTGCCCACCTGGCAGCCATGGATTTGGGGGAGGTTGTTTCATAAGGGCGAGTTTTAGCTTTGAGGGTTAGAAGCCCTACTGTCGATAGAGATAGAGCGTACAGGAGCTCGAGGCCCGCTAGTTTGATGCTCAGCCGGACTGTCGGACGCTTATCTATGTACTGCTGAAGAGTTGTACACCCATCAAATCTTTTTTCAGAGTTGATTGATCGTTAGTTGTTGTTCCCCGCTCCTGTGAATGTATATATATATATATACGTCCTTAATCTTCATATCTGTTTGATACAGCCGTCCAGTGGAAGACTTGAAGACAGCAACCTGAAACAGCTGCAGACACGTCAGACGGGACTGTCGCCGAGGCACGGCAGAGCCACTCGGCATGTTCTTGGCTTGCGGTGAGCGAACGGATACCGTGCAGACTGGAGAGCCAAGAGGAGCCTGAGAGGAGCCAAGAGACCTCTAGTTGTGAAGATCCTTTCCGACAAAGACTGACCACTTAGACATATCTTAGACACATGGAACTGGGAGTTTGGCCACAACTTTCATGGGACTTGAGATCCTCTGCGCGGATTGGGTCGACTTCGGATACAATGTTTCATGCCATTTCAATGAATCATATTTAGTTTTGGGGCACGTGACCTGATTGTCTTTGCGAGTCCATTTCCAGTGGAATTCCAATATTTCCAATTATATAATTGATATCGATTGGTAGATATGTTCGATTGATATTTTCGAGGGCGACGGGAAGAGATACTTCTGTGGTGTTTTCACATGCATGGTTGCCAAGCTTTGGACATGCTGGTGACATCCCATTCAATCCGCCAACACTCCGAGGCGATGGCTCGCCACGTTTGCTCCAGAAGGAAGCTAGTAAGGAAGCTGAAGGTTTGCTCCGGACAGTCGAGGAGAGGGGAGTTTGGGCTGGACAGCAGAAGTGCTGTATCACTACTATTATGGTTGGACCTTGGGTTATTGGTCTTTGGGATCTTTTTGGGCGCAATCACAGCAAGATGCTCCGAGATGGTCATAGGTTTACTGCTTGGGACTCCTGCAGGTTTCCCATTGGGTTTTGGTCCGATTGCCGGATGGAGGATTGCTTCCTGCTGGCACTGTCCAAAAGAGGACCCCAAAGGGCGCGGCCATTTTTTGGGATACAAGTTCAAGAGTGGACAACATTGATATGACAACAATGTCTTCAATACATGGTGCAAGGTCCGGCTCAGAAACCAGCACATCTCGGGTTCAGAAAAAAGCAAACCTCTCCACAATCATCTCCTCACCATCTCGGTGGCCGTTGATTCAGACCATCCCATCTTCACGTCGCATGTCCAGGACACCGTCACTGAGAAGGTCCGGCGTTGCGACACGGCGGCCGCCCTCTGCGAGCGCCTCGCGCGGAGCATGGCCTGGCAGGTGCTGCCGGAGGTGGGGCCGGATCCGTAGAAGAGAGAACCACAGAGAGAGGCAACCCGCTGCGGAGGAGAACCACGGGGGCGGGGGGAGAGAGAGTGTCGACTTGTTGGTTTCTTCTTTCTTAGTACTGTAGATACTGTAGACGTTCCTGTCTCAAAAGCCAATTCGTATGAACCGCGTGCCCCGGAGGCGTTCCTGACGACCGGGCCAACCGGGTCGTGGGTCACGTGTCTGGGCAATCGAGGCCTACACCCCCTGGAACGAACATGGTTACGTGGAGAATGGCCCCGAGTCTGGAAGATCATGAAATCCACGAACCAAACAGGTGGTGAACTCCACTTCAGTTCCAGGGATCCTAGAACAGCACCTCCCCACGCAACGATCGACATCCAACCATTCCCTACCTGCCAGATGAGGAGGAATGGCCGGTTCCTGAGTTGTTTGTCCTGGCCAACTTCCGGCATTCCGGCAAGATGTCGGCGAAAGCAAGCATGACAAGAAGCCTATATAGCTATATATATATATATATGCTATATATGTTCCTGGTAGAGTTTTTTCTACTCTATATATGACAAGAATCAAGAAGCCTATACTATATAGTATATATATATATGTGTGTGTGTGTGTTCCTCGTAGTGTTTTTTTCTGTTCCTACTATCTATGACAAGCCTGTCGTGTGTTTTTTTCTATTTCTCGGGATGGTCAATCGGCTCCCCATGGATCCCTCGTCGGCCCGTCGGCCGTGAACTCTGCTCTAGCTACTCTAGCGACCCACCTGCAGGCGGGCAGTGGCATGCCGGGTCAGGCCCAGGCCTATGTGGCTTAGCGGAGTGGGAGGATGTGGCACCTGCATCCTGCATGTGATTGCAGCTGTTCGAGGCTTTGGATGCCCACCTCAGGAACTCACCAATCTGGAAAGCCACCCCCCCATGTTCATGTCTCAACTTGTGCCTTGTTGAGGCCATACATGAGTGGATGGGGTAGGGGTCGGATGTACCTCATGACGCTCATGAGTTGGGTTCACATGAGTTGGCGGAACTCACGACCTCCCTAGGAGATCAGTGAGTGAAAGAAGTCTTCAAAGCGTGCCATGTCCAGGGGAAGTTGCCATGCCATTCTTCCACACGGCATCCACTTCTTCCACTCAGCATCATGTTCTGCAGCACTTCAAGACCATGAAGGAAGAATCCATGCATATCCATGGTAGAGGTAGATCTCCTGCCAAATGCCTTGTACATACCTGGCGATCCTTCCGGTGCTTGGTTCACTCGGGTAAGCCGTGAGACCGTGCTTTGTTCACTCATCAAGCTGTTGCCGAGGAGGGGTTGATCCTCAAGCGCGAGGGCCCGTGGGCACTTGGAGATGCCCGAGGCCGTTATGCTTTTGATGAAACCACCGGGTGGCTCACGACTCAAGGTAGCCACGTGGGGCGATTCATTTGCAAGATGCTTGGCAACACTGGATGAGGACCAGCATCAGTATATAATCTCAGTGGATCAATGAGGATATATATCTTTCGAAAAGGCTTCATTGACCTCATGTTTGTTCCGCTAAAGATCTCCAACCAACCTTTGCCCCGAGCCCAAAAGCGCGCCGAGGAGGATCCAAGCCACGCCTCTCCCTCTTCCGAATGGCTCCGACCGCGGAGACGTTCGGAGCATGGGACGGCGGTTGATGCTACGGAGCGGAGAGCCTGCAAGCGAGATGCAGAAGAAGGAGAACCACCGGGCACCTGGGAGACAGAGCTGGGATGAGCTGGGGCATCGACTGGTGACAAAAGCTGAGAGATGATGGTGATGATGATGATGAGGATGAGGATGAGGATGAGGATGATGATGATGATGATGATGATGATGATGAAGATGAGTGAAGCTGGTGAAGGCAGTCAGTGATGATGGGTGGGGCCCGGCCTGGGGAGCCCGTGGGAAGTGATGTTTGGGTGAGATGGAGAGGGCTCGGTCTGGGAGGTCCGATGCTCCATCCAAGGCCCTCTTTGTGGTGCCTTCGCTCCTCCATGGAGCTGAGTACCTGTCAAGCACTCAAATTGTTGCTTGGGCACTGCAGAGCTGGGCAGCTGGGCCGAGCTCGGAGTGACTAGAGCTATTGCTTGGAGGGTTCATGTTGGAATAGAAACTAGTGATGGGTTGATCGGGCGCCATGTTGCTTGTGGGAGTCTACACTCCTGAAAGCTCAGGGTGTTTTTGTTATCCTTGTTTGAAGCGGACGTTTGCAGATCGGCACGGGCGTTATCAAGGGTTGGTTGGTTCGTTTCCGTTTTCGGGAGAGACCAGGGGTTCAATTGAACTGCTGCTCGTTCCCATCCTTTCCCTCCCCGTCTCCTTGTCGGTTTCATCTCCGGGCACACGGTCCGGGGCACGGTCCCCTTTCGAGATCCACTTCCGTTCTGCACGCCTGGTTCGTCCATCACCCGGGTGGCGGTAGGCTGCCAAGCTTGGAACTCGATGGGGGTGCTGCCAGAAGGCATTGGTTCATGGTAGATCTATGATCTAGTAGGGTTTCTGAAAGGCGCTCCATGTGGTTCCCTTTCTTCGTGGGCGTGCTGCTCTGGAGCACTGCGTGGCCCTTCCTCAGGTTCGTCAGGTGCAAGATTACAAGTATCACGAGACGGTAGGCGCACGCGCACAGCTAGCAGCGCATCCCGCAGCAGCGCAGTTCCTCTTGGACAACGCAGCAAATGCTGAAAGAAACTTGGCTGTGAATATGTGGGGTAAATACTTGCTGATGTTACTGATGTTGCTATGGTGATGCACCTTGGGCCGTGTACAATGATCAATAGGGTGCAATAGACATGTGGTACCAAACCGACATCATTGGCCGCGGCCATTTGGCTGGTCAGGTGGGTGTTTTTGCGGTTCGCCCATTCAGCTTGGATCCAGTGGATGGCACCATGGCCTGGACCCGCGATGTTCGGGTTGTTGCTGTACCACGCGGGCGGTTTCTGCCCTTGCGCAGGGGCCCAGGGCTTCCCCCTCTTGAACTCATCGGAGAGTCTCTTCAAGGAGTTGCCGAAGGGTTGGATCGCTCCTCGGGTGGCGCGGACGTACTTCCATGTCCTCGGAGGTCTTTCCCCCTGCCCCAGGGGCGGCGCTTGGAGCCACTGGCGTCCGGCTTGACCGAGCACAATGTCATGGTTGGTTCGTTGAAGCGCATGTACAAGATCTATATCGATAACCCTGACACATCCATACAGCAGCAGGGGCTCATCGTGATGCTGCACGCATACGGCTATCCTATCGACCACTTTTGGAACCATGGGGAGTATCAAAGAAATACGGCCAAATTGGGTTGGGTATCCGTTTTCCCGCAGGGCTGGACTGCTGACGCTGACTCAAACCGAAGTTGGTATTCGGGTTATTGCTGCCATGCAAACAATGAGAGGATCGACGACAAATCCTTCATCAAGGAAGTGATGGCAATCATCCGCGGCAGCTTCCAGCTGAACATCCGGGAGAATAGGACCTTTTGCTCTGGCTATAGCCAGGTTGTTACCTATTTTTTGCAATCTCCTGCGATCCAACGACCGCCACTGACTTCGATGCCTTTGGTGGTATTGGTTGCCTTTGGCGATCCGATCTCAACCATGAGTTCTTTGGCGACTGCGCCCCCACGAAGAGCTCTTATACCACGAGGCTACAGTGCCTAGGGGAGGCGCAGCAGTCTTACAGCTCAGGCATTGTCACATGCACTGACAAGACCAATTGTGGGGCCAACAACGTCAGCGCTCGGCATTGCAAGCTTCAGGGTTTCGGTCACACACCTCTTCCTCTTGCAAGCAACGAAGCCAATTGGGAGTGGACTTTGGAACAGTGGAATTGGTGGACGGGCTCGAATGCATCGGCCTCTATCGACGATGCGGCACGAATGCGTCGGCCCTGGTTCCTGAGCTTTCTCCTTGCCGCGCTTTCACTTGGTAGAGCGATTTGATGCAACGAAATCTGTGCACCGGTGGTGAGGAGGAGCAGACTCAGCGCTTTGACGCTCAAGATGGACCTCATCACTGTAGCCTTTGATATTATTTCATGAATTCAGACCTTTGATGGTAATCACGAAAGCTAGCATGCTAGCTGAGTTCTTCTTTGCTTTAGCAATGTTGTGGTGGGAGGGGCTGCGTGCCTTAAAGATTGATATATCAAGCTAACCCCCCCCCCGCGGTTCAACTCCCAGCTGCGCCGCTTCGCTTATTGTTGTGGTGCATACCACCATTCCACTGAATGAATTGCGTGATAGCTCTGCTGGTGTTCAGACAGCGGCAAGGTGTGCATATGTTTGTGCATTTGTTTGCATCTACAATCCTTGGTCAAGGCATGTCCTACGGTGAGCATGCTCCATTTCACCTCCATGCTACGTCGTTCCTTCAGCCTCCGTCCAGGGTTGGCGTCGTTTTGCTGGTTCGAGTGGCTCATTCAATGCAGAAGTTAACAAACTGATAGGTATAATGATAGTGAGTTGCGTGTATATTTGAGATCATTTGAGGTAGTTCATGCTTTGCTACTTGTTGCGGCTTGGTGCTGCTGCTGCTGTTGCTGACGACGCCGCTGCTGCTGCTGCTTGCTGCTTGCTGCTTGCTGCCGGTGGTGCTGCTGCTGCTGCTGCTGCGGCTTGGTGCTGCGCTGCTGCTGCGTGGTGCTGCTGGCTGGCTGCTTGGCGGTTGCTGCTGGCTGCTGGCTGCAGGCGGCTGCTTCTGCTGCTGGCTGCTGCTTGCTGCATAGGACTTGTACTTCACCCTTACAAGTTGTTTACCCTATTTCTAACCTAGTGCATGCATAAGCGGGTGGTAAATTTACTCCCAAGGCTTGCTATAACCATACGCAGGCTATTTCCTCAAGACACTCTATTCCTGATACCTTTTACATCCTTTTTACCAGTGCTTATCCTACACTACGGACGCCCTAGTGTATGCACAGTCCTTGTGATGCTTACCCCTCGTTCCGGCTCAAGGCATACATAAGCGGTGGTAAATTTACCCCCCAGATTTGCCATAACCATAAGCCGGCTATTTCCTCAAGACGCTCTGCTCCTTATACCTTTTACCAGTGCTTATCCTACACTACGGACGCCCTAGTGTTTGCACAGTCCTTGTGATGCCAGAAATGCTTACTCCTCTTTCCGGCACAAGGCATACATAAGCGGGTGGTAAATTTACCCCCCAGATTTGCAATAACCATAAGCCGGCTATTTCCTCAAGACACTCTATTCCATATACCTTTTACCCGTGCTTCTCCTACACTACGGACGCCCTAGTGTATGTACAGTCCGTATGATGTCAGAAATGCTTACCCCTCAAGGCATACAAAAGCGGAGGGTAAATTTACCCCCCAGATTTGCCGATCACGCATCTTCGTGCCTGCCAACAAGTGCACCCGGGTTGTTCCAATGTACCCTTCCCAGTCCCAGTCAGCGATGTCACATTTACATTCTTTAGCACAAAGTATGTACATAGCAACCTTCCTCCCAGAACATGTACTCACTACATGCTTTGCCGACTATGTGACTAGTACATCCGGTGCGATTCGGCTAGCTTTCGACCTCCTCCCCCTGGCCTCAAGGAAGATGTAATAAGGAAAGCCAAATCACGTCTTCATTTGGATGGTAACATGTCATCCAGAGTCTACGACTGGGCCTGTCCTATCCCATGAAGGATGAAGTCCGTCCTTGTGGCAACCTCTGAAGGAGAGGGCTACGAGAAAGAAGTGCCTGTGACCGCTGTCTTGAGCTGGCGCCACAAATTGATTCAGATAGCTCAGGGAGGACGAGTGGAGTTTCGAGGAAGGGCCACGAATGAAGATTGAATAAGATTGATTCGTTTGGCCATTCTGTTTGGTTGGTTTCTTGCCATAAGTTGCCCAGGTAGTATATTCGTTACTGGCTATGCCCCTCCCACTCACAGTGGGTCAATGCAAAAAGATTAATGGTACCTCAATGAACGCCGTGAATGGGTGGTTGTGAGGATGGCGGGATGGCTTTTGAGAGACAGGGGGTGTCGAACTCGGACCTGGAGGCTCCTCTTCGATGTACAGACCGAGGCAGTTACTATGTAGACTCTTGATGAATACCCCACCCAGCACCCATATGAAGAGGTTGTTTATTTCAAACGGGGAAGGTTATTCAGGTTCTTAATCAAGAGGCTATATATACATTACAACTTGCCATCGCTCATAGCGGCTCCCATGGCGTCCGCCCCACAATCCATGCCACTTGTGGGACCAAGGCAGGCACGGCAGGTCTTCCCGGGCGTTTTTTTCGTTCGGGGCTCGTGGCGCTCAGGGGACGGCGGTCTCAACATGTTGGAAGATCTTTTGAGCAAGTTGCCAGGCGTCCAGCTGCTGGGCAGAGAAACCAGGAGCAGAGGAACCAACGGAATCCAAGGATTGATATGTATCGAAAAGCGAGGGTTCGGAAGGTACACTTGTGGTCCAACTCTCATGTGTCTCATGTCTTGTTTCTCACAGACTTCCTGCACATGTAGTTGGACTACGACCCCCGGTAGGCCGTGTGTTTTTCTTGCGATTTTTACAGTACTTTTTCGACGCTTTTTTGCATCCCAGCTCCAGGTCTTCGTTGCATTGCACAACAATAATACATATCTCAGACTGCATGCATTGCACAACAATAACATATATCTCAGACTGCACATAACATGATGCTAGCTCCTCGCATGTGAATTGAAGTCACCAAATGTTCGCTATGCTGCACTCTAAATTGTACCCTTGCGTGGAGAATTTCCACGTTTTTGCCATTCACCAAGTTGATGCTACGTTGGGTATGGATTGGAAGTTCTCTGATGTCTGTAAACTTGCTTACTTGCAACAACAACACATACGACATGGACAGTTGCTGACGGTCAGAGCTGCAAATTGTTGGGGTGGGGGGTGGGGGGGTGGGGCCAACATAATGACGTCGGTGAGGCCAACATAATGAACGAGCTGTGCAAAGTCGCTAAGCAGAGCCGGGGAGTGCAAAAAAAAATCTTTTTGGATTCTTGCAAAACGTGGAATTTGCAGTTGCGTCTTTGAAAATGATAGAGGCGCTACTGCGCCGTGCGCATGTTCAATTAGACGGTCCTCACGAAACGCCACGGGGGTCGTGCACCATGTAGTTTCATGTTACCCAATGGCCGTGAATCATGGCACCCAAAGCCCTAGGTGGCCGGGTAGGTTGACCTAAAATCTCGGAGTCCACTCCATTCATGTTCGCGCCTCAAGCGCCAGGTTCCCCGGCTGAAACGCTGCGGGATCAGCCGAGTCGGGTGAAGGAGGCCGACCTTCCAACCCCCGAGCTGGAAGACACGAGAACACCAAGAGGACAATCAGAAAAGATCCCGGACACTTGATGGGACTGGCATATTTACCTACATTGACCCCTGAAACCACCCCAATGTAGGTAAGTATGCCAGTTCCAATAGTCGTGCGATTCTCAAGCTGAAGGTTTCCCCGGCTTTGACCCACGGTCCAATCTCACACAACGCGCATCAACGCGCCAAACCATAGGATCGACCCCAATCAGCTCACCCACCGGCTGAATTCTGACTTCTTACTTCGTAACCTCCCTGCGTTGCTGAGAGGTTACGCCGGTCACGTACCAGCTGAGGTTTGTGAATGGCTACTTGCACCTCACGGATCGCGGACCAAGGGCTGAGGTGCATGGAATCGAGCAACGTCTCTGTCGGCATTGCGTGTTGTTTTCCTTGCAGGCGGAGATGCTGCAGAAATTGGAGAAGGACCGGAAGTCCGGGTCTCATGCCTATTCGCACAACTTCGATCCCGATCCAATGATTGAAAGGACATCCATCCATACAACAGCTTGATTCTAGGTGACCAAGACTCAAATCCTGAGGTCCGGTGACCTCCCCCGGGCCCCATCCTCGGTGGCAGGAACGATCCATACCAGTATCTCTCCAATCGGTCGCCAGGAGCTCCATTCCTGGCGACCGCTGATCATGGAGGATCTCTGCTCCAACCCACGGGAAGACCGAGCCGGAGCTCTGGCTCGGGATAGGGAGATAGGGATGGTCACCAAGCTCCTTTGATCCCTCGAAAGCCAACAAGAAAAACAATATCAACATGGAGGAGTGGATTCCAAGGTTTCTTGAGGTAGATTCATCTGTTTTCCTGCAGTAAAAGGGTGATAAAGACTGGAACATTTGCTTGCCACACCAAAGGTTTGAGCCTCTAACATGATCCAACAGGTCACCAGTCACCAGACCAGACCCACCAGACCATTTTAGAGCCCAAAAACCCTGAACAAACGCCAGTTTTGCTGGTATAGAACCTATGGATATATATATATATATATATATCGAGATCAATGTTTATTTATATTTCAACGCCCCTTGATTGCTTTTCTATGCGGTTCTCCCATTCTGCCTGAAAACTGTGACCATCTTTCGGGCAAAAGAACGGAACGACGGTGGGATGTTCGGGTGTGCCTTCCAGATGTCGCGGACCAAAAACTGAGCACAACAGCCAAGGCGACCACCAGGTGGGTGTGGTTTATGCCTCCGTGGCCATTCTGGGGCACCATGAGCCCTCGGAGCCCTTCGTGCAGCTGCTCGGCTCGTTGCTCCTGGGGCGGGCGTAGATTTGTTGAGAAGGTGCGTGGAATTGCTTGGAGATGGTGTTGGAGGCAGGTTTTTAGGGTCGCTTTCGGTCCAAGCACCTTGTGAGGGTTATAGAGTCCATATTAGCTTCAGAGAGAGCAGAGAGAGAGAGAGAGAGAGAGAGAGCGCGCGGCGCACGCGCGCGCGCGCGAGAGCGAGAGAAAGAACAACATTGAAGTTGAACATTGCATGCAAGTTGCTGACCTCCAAAACTTAATTGCATACATAGTCGCTTATTAGGTTTTGGCTTGTCGGAATATTATACATAGAAGGATATGATGGGCATTTTCACTAGGAGGATATCTAGTTAATATTCAATGGATGAACGCAATCATTTATCTTGATGCAGCCTGTTGGTCTGAATCATACACATACTCTAGGTGGATATTTGGCTGGAAACTAGTGAGGGGTTGAATGGCAGAATTCATTCCTGCACCTTCCAGATTTCGCCCTCCGCAACGACTAGTCCTAGACATCAATCGCTAGAGTCGGCCCCCCAGAAGTCCAAGACAATATTAAACGGTCTTTTAGGTGACCCGAGTTCAGGAATGTCTCATAGAGGTCTTTGGACTTCTAGGGGTAGTCCTCATGAGGGTGCATGTTAGCCGCTCGGCTCCACGCCCAGCGGCTGAGCTTTGAGGAAACTCGCAGAGCTGCTCCTCACTGTGCAGTACTATGGGGCACTGAGATATGCAGCAGAGTCCCACCAGCGCAGAGACTCGCGTTGCGTTGCAGATACACCTCGTCGCTGAAACAGCGGGGGAGATGGGTGGGCCAGCAGCCAGTTGGACCCCCCAAGCAGAGAGATGTAGCACTCAAACAGGACCTCGTAAGTGACCTCATATATCTGGTGGCTGCCGCAGAGACATGGCATCATATGCCTACAAGTAGATCATCAGATCCCTAACTCCGAGGCTTTGCGGAGGCTGTGAGTCAACCGGGTGAGCAACCTTGCAGGTCCACTTCCGAATGCACCGACTGGTCGTCTCTTCTTTGGGCCTTTGGTTCGTTTGGCTTATTCAGGTTCTACGGTGCAACCATTGATTCCACCAGCATCCCTTGTGTAGGAGTTGTTCTACTAGAAATTCTGCAGGAAGAACCTATTGCCCCCAAAGCGACCAAGGCGTTTCTTCCCACAGATGCTCCGAAAAGATGAGTCCTGACGGCCCCAGACGCACCGGCGCCCCTAGTCAGCTTCGGAGACCCTCCTGGCTGAGGAAAGGTCTTCTTGACACCCATGGGGCTGGAGATGTTCGAGGCCCCCTGGGAGACCATTGGGAGGAGTATGATCAGAGCAGTGCAGATGCTTCAGGATGCATCTCGTCACTTTTTGCAGGTGAGGGGGGTGAAATGTGCGGCTTTGGTTAAGCCGGGAAAGCGGGCACAGTGCCTTTGCTAAGGTTCGGAGGGTCAGTGCCATACTGGATTTAAGCAGGCCTGACATCAGTTAGTTCAAATGGTGTAAAGAATTACGACCCCTAGATCATGAGAGAACCAGGAGAGCACCATGATTTGGGAAGCCGGCCTCCATCCCTTAAACTTGCACAAATGCATGACCACACAGCCTGCAAGTGATCCCCCTTGAATTCTGCAAGACATTTCTCACCATCCAGGGAGTCCAATTTTGCTTCAAAACGCCTTCAAGAAACTGGAGGTGTCCCTCAAAGACGCGGTCCCCGACCTTGGGAGCTACCAAGCCCTTCCGCCGTTGATTTGCCGTCCAAACCAGGGGATTCGGTTGACCTCCTATAGGTCCTCCATTCTGTTCATGGTCAGTGGTGTTTAGGTACGCCAGGTACCCGCCATGGCCCACAGCCATTTGCACCGGGCTCTCGCGGATTCACCGAGATCTCAGGATGCTTCGTCACTGGAGATCATCGTCCTGACACCTACGGACGGTTCGGGGGACCCATTGGAGGAAGTCCTCCATCCGCCAGCGACGCAAGCGAGGCACGCAGATGGAGATGTGGGGTTGTGGCTGCTTTTGAGAGGTTATATAGATCGTCCATACGTAGTATCTTCCATCTATACCACTGATCAAGAGATATCAAGAGGACATGGGAAAAGGAAGGTATCCAGGCTAGCTTTGAAAAAGAACGCCCCTCTCTGGCACATGGCATGGCATGGGAAGTTGATGTTCGTCAGTTGATTTGATGTTGTTTGCGTTTGTTTGGTGATTCGACCCCGTCCGGACCTTTGAACCGACTGCAAGTGAGTGGCATTTATGGGAACAGATGCGACGCTGTTCAGACGGTTGAACCGAGGGGAGCCACCGGAACCTCACCGTCGGCCCTCTGACCGGAACGCGACGCGAGCCCGCCCAGTGTCGCAGGTCCCAGCGCCGCGAGCCCCGCGGGCCCTTCGCCGAGCGCGGGCCGACCCGCGGGCCCCGCATGTCCGACGCGTGCCTGGGTGGAACGGGCTTAAGGAGGCGGGTGCAGTGGAAAGGTCGGGTAAGTTGGGTCCCCCCCAGCAGGTGTCAGGCAACGGGTGACAGCGAATTTAAGCAGGTGACACGTGCAAAGTGGCAAAGTGCAGCTATTTCCGGTGAGTCACCTTTTCACATATGTATATTGTTCATAGGGAATTTCTTTGCACCCCAGCTTGGGGGTTGCCAGGTTTGATCCCAATTTTTCAGACCAAAGCTAGCTGGGTAGACAGCGAGCGCAGGGGATATATCGTGCAGCTTGCTTTCACTGGGACCACTGGGGAGTGCGGATGAAAACGGCACCTTGGGACGGATTGACATTGCCCGAACTTCCTCAACTCGTGACTTGCCCCAAAAAGATCCCAAAAAGCTACTCACTCACCTTTCACATCTTTCACCCGTATACACCCTTTACAATGCCATATATAGGACTTCGCACATGTTCAATGCCGAAACAGGCTCCCCGTGCCGTCCGACTCCAGCGACGAGTTTCGCTGGAGCCCCATCGAGGTGCGCGCGGGGTTTGGGCTGGATCCTGAGGTGTTGAAAACAGGCGTTTTGACCACCAATCAGGCCAGTCAGATGGACTCTATATGTGGACTGAAGACCTCAGTATATGGTTTAGTAAGTTTAGTATGGACTCATATATATGGACTCTATGCTGGTGCAGCAGCATGCTTGTTGAACAGCTGAAGTCGTCGAAGCACCATTCAGCTCCACGGATTGGTCCTGTTGCTTAACGCTCAAGGGAACTTTTAAACATTTTGGAGGAGTGAAGTCACCATGATCTTATGATGACTGTCACTAAGTATTCTGTTCTATGGTGACTGTCATGGTGACTGTTCCTATGATCTTCTATGACAGCCACCACCATGAAGTATACTGACCGCCAAGTCTCTGACCGCCTTTTTCCAGGTCTCTCCTGTCTCAGGTGAGTCCGAGTCCTCCACATGATTCCCTCCAATGGATCGAACATGGCCACCCCAGACATATCCAGTTCGGAAAGACGTATTCCAGACATTTCCAGACCAGAGGGTGAGCTCCACTAATCCACTAATCCACTCCGGATTCCTGCTCCAAACTCAGCTGAAACCTTCGTTTTCAGACGACAGTTGCACACTTTGGCCTTGGAGCTGGGGACCTGGGAGATTTTGGGACAAATGACGAAAGACATCCTCTTGGGCCTTCCAGGAGTCCAGCGAAAGCCGTATCACGGTGCTCATGCGCCGAGCGCGGGCACTTGGGGACATCTCTTCCGGACTGAAGACCCATGGGGTGAAGATGGCGACTGCCCCCCCTATTAAAAAAACAACTTCTGTGCAAGGTATGATGCCATGGGGTCCACTATAATGGAACACCTTTCAGTGCCTAACAGACGGTACCATGCCACCACTCGCAGCCACTCGTGCGAAACCGCAAGACGCGTGCGGCGTGTTTGTGAAAGCCACGGTGACTAGCCGAAGAATGCAATGCGTTTGAGAGTCCGGTTGGCTCCCATCCTGGCTCCATAGCACTACCGAGAGGCCAGCGATGTTAAGTCCCAGACACTCCATGGAACTGCCATATATGCCTATATACAATTGGGGTGGCTTGAGGGGTCAATGTAGGCATATATGGCATACATGGAGTGTCGGGATTGCTTACTTGCGTTCGATGTTAACTGTTCTATACTGTTCTATATGAATCTATATGATGTGTGGCTGCAGGGTGGAAACTGATGAGGTCAGTCGAAGAGCTCGCAAAACACCCTGGTATAAGCGTGGGAGTCCTGCTTTCAGGTGCTGGTAGCTGGGAAACCCGGTCGAACGCGGCAGGTCCAGGGTGAAATCGCATCACCTCGAAGGCTCTGGAAACCACGATGTAATTAGGTGAAAAACATGGAAAAACCATGTGTGCTGGTTTTGGGACTTCCCACTTCTATTATTTCAGCAGGGCAGCTCAGCTGGGCGTGGCACAGTTGGAATACCAAAGATCGCTTGTGAGGTGGACATGCAGGCCACAGAGCTCCAAAGCCTGCGGCGGAAGAACGAGGAGCTGAGCGACTTGGTCTGCTGAGGTGACTTTTTGATTTCCTACTGGAACTTGTTGACTGAAAGTATCTGAAGAGTGTTCCAGGAGAGAGAGTTCCACTTTGGGGACAAGGATTTTCGTAAGTTGGAGATCACTTGGAGATCCTCATCACGGTAACATGGCTCCAGAACTCCTTTTCCATCCTTTTCTGATCACCGGAAAGAAACAGAGGGCGGCCCCAAAATCGTTGAGAAATTTCGTTCAGGAAGACTCAGATGGGTCAGGTCCACAGTGGTTCCTGTAAGAGAGATGACAGCTCGATGATAATGGCGGTGGGCCGTTCTTGGGAAGCAGAACTGGAGATGGGGATGAGCCTGACGTTGGGTAGAGGATGGTAGAGGATGGTAGAGGTGCTTGACAGCACGCGCATCAGATGGCCACTGGAGTTTGCTCCCAAAGATTTTCACCTCATGAGACCCCGGCTCATTGGAAGTGGGTGGAACCCCTTGACCCTCCCTTTGGTAGAGGACGGGTCGCCCGAATGGAGAAGTACCCGAGCTTTAGTTAAGAGGTGGAGGACAGCATGTACAGGCTTTATCTATTGGCGCCTTGGTAGAGGAAGGACGCCCTCCGGGGAAGCCCCAAGGTGAAGCAATGGACCAATACAACCTCGAGCAGAAGGTCTCCAGGCACGTGGTCCCGGTGGAAGCGGCGGATGGTGCCGATAGGCTCTTAGATGGAGCTAGTGCTGGATTTGGTGAGTTGGTGGCGTGAAGTAATAACTACTTAGCTAATAGAACCCGTTGCTTTGAGTTCCAGGATCTTCCAAGCATCGCAAGCATGCTCTTGTGGCATTTGGTAGCGCTAGTATTCGCGCTAGTATTCATTCATCCCCTTGAGTTCTGAAACCACTTCCGTTGATGGCATCGATCCCATGGATTCCACGTCATGGGAACGAACCAGCGGCACCGCCTTGAGTCTACGTACCTTTCCTTTGACCCTTAGGTTTGGATGTTTTCTGATGTTTTCTGGGGTGTTATAGAGCCACGTAGAGCCATATAAATGCCCACATCTGGATGTGATGTGATCATTCAAGCGCGACAGGAGCCTGGCTGGTTTAGAGGATTGAGCAAGGCTCCAAGCCTGGATTCCCAGCCTGCTGCAGTTCTGATGACATACCGGCTTTGGGTGGATCTATCCGCAAGAACTGAACATCATGACAGTTTTCCAACACTCTCCATCATGTTCCTTAAAGGATCGGGTTGTTCGGTGTGGTGTAGTGGATCCTCTTCCCCTTCCATACCCAACTCAGTCAACTCTACATACCTTGTCGGTCCGAGGGGAATTGGAACAGTGAGGGGCCATTCCTGCCTCACACATTTTTTCTGGACCATCCGAAGGTAAAAGTAAAAAATTAAAGGCTTTTGTCAGTGCCATCTACCTGACAATTATTGTGCATTGTTTGATAATCTCAATTTGTTTGCATGGCTCTTGAATCGTGGTTTTCCAAGCTGACCCGTTTTTACAGCAGTCCAATGTTGTGCGTTTTACTTTGCGCTTTTTTGGAGATCTGAGATGCCTTGGAATCCAGATGATGCTTAATGACGAATATATAGATATTATTATGTCAATAGCAAGAATGAAATGAACTGTTTGCGTGCTGCCGGTGCATTGAAGATGGTTGCACAAGTTTTGGGAGAAACACCGGGATGAGTGGAGACTGCTGCAGCGGAGCTGCGGGAGACAGAGGGATGTGAATTAGGCCCAAGCAAGATTTCAAAACACAGCGCATGTCGTTAACAGGGTGGTCCTGTGAATTTTCTGGCACAATTCCACATCATTTGTTCATTGCTCTATTCATTTTTCTTTATATAGCTTTCGTAGCGAAAACCATCGTTCCCATGGAACTGTGCCGCAATATCCGCAATATTCCCCTCGTGTCCTTGTTCATTTCATTTTGCCATTCTTCCCAATCCTGCATGATTTCTTTCCGTGCAAGTTCCTTCCCGCCAAAATCGAATCCCTCACGAAACCACAGAAAACTATTCCGAACTCATTTCGGGAACCGAACACCATGCCGGCCGCGTTTTTCCCCCCGGCGTCGCCGCTGCAGGCCAGGCAGGGTTGTGTGCCTGAAGCATGTCTGAGGGCTGTATCATATTTGTCCGTGAGCTTGGTTAGTTTGGTTGAGTCACCGGTCAAGTTGAAGAACTCAGATCAGTTGAACCTGGTCGTGGATTTTAAGGACCTGAGTTGGCCCAAAATATTGCTGAAGAAATGAGTTGGCCGTGTGAGACTCAACCAACCTGCACTCCTGAATCAGGTGCTCAGAGCTGATTTCGTTTTCATGGCCGATTTCCTGGCCCTTAATTCACCTGTTCCAAGCTGCCCAGTTGCAGCCAACGTTGTCCTAATTCAGCTGCCGGCCTGGCTCTAGCTTGTACAGCCCGGACCCGCCCGGACCCGCCCGATGTCCGACGTCCGACGTCCGAGGACGAACTTCTGCGTGGTACGTCCTTTATCTCTTTCTTTTGGAGCTGGGTCGAAGGACACGGCCCCACCCCCTGGTCGAAGCGAACGCAAATAAGTCACAGACGTCATGTGTTTTCCATTAAGCTGTCCGCAATTTGGTTGACTGCAGTTGGGGCCAGTTAGGGTCTAAGGTTGTGATACGGGGTTTTGAACGCTGCTCAGTTGAGAAGTGCCACAGCGCCCGCGAAACACAGCGGCATGCAGGCGAGTGCCCGTTGCAGCAGGAGTCTTGGGTCTTTGGAAAAGTGGGGCTTGTCGGGAGTTGTTCTGAACCGGGAAAAGGCTCACGCGGGTTTCCTTGCGGAGGGCAATGATTGACCATGTTTCTCATGTGTCTCGTCCGTGGTTTCCGGCTTCTCCATGCTTCGTCCGACGTCCTATAGCGGTGCCAGACCGCCGGGTGTTTCACTCATCCCGCCAAGTTCCTACTATGGATTTGTATATCCCAAGTATGCGCATCACCAACCACCCTGCTCTCACACCAGCTTGCACCCACCAGGTGCTTCCCTTTTCTTGCTTTCCACCGTTGCAGGAGCGAGACCGGCTCCTTCAGCAGCGGCTCGAGTGCCACCACGGTGCCCAAGGTGGAGTCCGTGCTCGGAAGCGGCTCGGAGCATTACTGGCCGCCGCGTCTCGAGCGTGGTAAAAGGCGGGTGGCCCGTGTCCGACCATAGGGAAACCCCTGGGGCACCAACAGGTTGTGGAGGTCTGGCGAGCAGCAAGAGGACCCAGAGTGGGTTCTTCCCAAGAACGCGTCCATGGATCCACGCCTTCGAGGTGAGTCGGGGTGGTGGACCTCCAATGGCCTTGAAGAATTCATTGGATATTCCATGATTTCCCGCTAGACCCACCGACCTACTTCCCTCACTCAATGCTGCCCGTGACTGGTGGATTTTTAGAGGGAGATCCCCTGGCGCCCAGTGGGTTTTGAACGGTTTTTTTCAATATGTTTTGGAGGTTTCTCTACAGTGGTTTCAGAGTAGATGGCACTGGCACCCGAAGATGTTTACTACTGAATGGGGGGTCCATATAAACCACCGAACTTGGGTGCCCAGACGTGCCATCGAGCCTCTGAAACCACTGTAATCCATCATCCACTGCGCAGAAAGCTCGGCTCGACCTGCCAGGTGTCTCGCGCGTCTTGGCCGTGGTGACTGCCTGCGTGGGCGCCTTCCTCTTCCGCGCGGGCTGCATCCTCTACCTTGTGTGCACGGACCAGACGCTCGCAGTTGACCGGGACGATGCTGCGAAGGTCGTGGTTGTTGACCTGTGGAATCTGGGGGAGTGAGGCTAGTAGGCTAGAGGTTTGGTGTGAATACTTGGAGACCATGGCCCCGAAGGCATGTGTTGCTTGGCGCTTAAGGCTTGACGGATCAACCCGTGGGAAGAACAGATGAACGGTCATAAATCAACCGAAAGCCATCGACTGAGGCAAGCTTTTAGGCCATGTGATGTGGGCTTCGGACGTGTGAAGCCGGTTACGAGGAACGAGTCCTTAGGACAGGGGTGAGGTAGTTGAAGTATGTTGGGTTTCTCCGTTCTTATCCGTAAAAGGACCCGTAAACAAGCAAATCACTCTTTTTTTTGAATAAGGCCTGTACTACTGTAACATACTGTAACCATCATCCGCTGTTACAGGCATTAGGATAGACCCAAGAAATATGCACCGTCATGACGGTTGGATGTTACGAATCGCCCGACCATGGCGAATCCGACCATGCCAGTCTGAGTCCGAGTCCAAGGTGAGAGACAGAGAGAGAGAGAGAGAGCGGGAGGGGCAGCGAGAGCCTCCCCATGCCCAGTCCATTGCTCACTGAGGCAATATTGGCCATGCGGCCTGCTCTTCCCATACTACTTAATCTCCGAGGTGCGTGGTAAACCGGCAAGTGGTGGCAGAGGCGATCATAAAATAGACTCATAGCCGGCATCATGATCCTCAGTTGGTAGTAGAACTGAATTAGAAAAGAGTGATGGCCTCAGAAACCAGAGGCTGGACTCTATCAATTTTATTGAAACAATTTTGAGGTTGGCCCCACCAGATTTTATTTCAGGTTGTCGAGGTGTTCCTTTAGTGTTGTCTTCTCACATCTTCTCACTCTTTTTCAGGAGCTGACATTGAGAGCTCCTAGAAACCCTACAAGCGTTGGTGATTTCTTTTCGGATCTGAGGTATCACACCTTCACCTACACCAAGCCTACCTACCGACGTTGGCTACCATCAATAAAATCAGACACTACTTAGAGGCAGGCTACCCAAAATCATTTGGGTTCGTAATCCGCACTTGGAGCTACAACCGGGGATTACTATGGGTACCTAGACTTAAACCACGCAAGGGGGTGCCTAATGGAAGCCAATAGGTAGTCTAGGGCATGAATATGTTGCAATTGGTGATCCCTTGTATGGTGGACATGCATGGACTCCACCTCCTCGACTTCAGCGTTTCAGCATATCCTTTTGTCCATCGCCCCGCCACCACCCAAGCTGCAGCGAAGCCATGACGATGCCACCGGGAGCGATGAAGCACTTGCTGGTGCGACCAGCAGCTTGGATGTCCGGTTTGCGGAGTCTGTGGGTGTATGGGTCAAATCAAACGTCAAGTTTCAAACAGCCTCAACCTGAAGGGCAGGGGGCCGCGGCTTTTGAGTCTGACCACGGCTCCAGTAGAGATGCCCCAAGACCGTATGCAGGTTCACATGGCTGGTAGTCCTGAGCCATCTCAGGGGGCAGGCCAAATCACAGTTGATACCACCTTGTTTGCTGGCATGTCGTACCACAATGTGTGTACACATTTGGACTCAAATCTCTTCCAGTGAGGTTTCGATTGGCCTTTGGCTTATCAAAGGCCAAGTAGTTCGAGTGAAAAGTGGAACTTCCTACCCTTCTCCAAGTGGATCGAAGCATGCTTTGGATCGATCACATCCCCGCTCCGTCCCAGCACCCAGCGGTTCCAATCAAGGCGGTGCCTGCACCTTTAGACCCCAACTTCTCCCCGGTGATCCTGGCCAAGCGCCAGCGCCCTGGCCGATTTCAGACCATGCTCTCTTGTGCTGATGGAGCATGTCATTCTGACCATAGTGTTGTTGGTATGCTGATGTACTGATGTACCAGCCAGCTGATCAAGACCCCTTGGAAGAGAACGATTATCCGATAATCGATTGATTGGCGCTGCCAATGTGTAACTATGTGTGACTGTCCAGGTACTTGAAGGCTGTGGCACAGGCCAGTGGTGCGTGGGATGGAATTCTGGGCACAATCCTCAAGGGCAGCTTTACATACCTGGAATGGGCCCTGCCCAGGGCTGCAACCTGGTCGCAGATCAAGACAGATGTTTGTTGGTCGTCAGGTCGTTGAGCAGGGTAGGGTGTCGTTTCGGAATTTGAGCTACGGACTGGTGTTGTAGCCGATTTAAAAGGAAGTGGCGTACTCCACCTCAAGAGCGTGCATTTAGATGGAGAAAAGGTTTCAATGTCTGTTTGTTCTTGAATTAGGCGACTCTAAACTCTAAACAGAAGGCACCTTGTCAGAATTGACATAATATCAAAAGATGTGCTTTGTGTCTTACAATTGGTCGCTGAGGCGCGGTGTTTGACATTCTCTTTCGGAAACGCCATTTCTGAGTAGCGAGGGCCTTGCAAAGATAATGCAACACGTTCTTAAACTTGCATAGACATAGGTGTGTACGTGTGCCTTCCTTTTTGTGCAAGAGAGGGAGGTCTTGGGAAAGGTTTGTGTACTTGATGCTTTAATGCTTTGGCATGTGGAAGGACATGTCTCACATTTGCTGTGTATAAACGCACATGAGCGTGAACATGTGGGACAAAAGACTCTGCATATAGACAAGCGTTTCTCAGTAGAATCAGGCAGCTTCTTGAATCTGGAGCAAGATACCTGTGCAAGCTTGTGTTCACTTTGGTTTGGCACCAGCTCTACACCATATTATAAGTCTATCCGACTCTACCTTAGGCTCTTAACCCAGCTGTTTTAGTAGTCGTAGCAGCAGTAGTAGTAGAAGTAGAGAATGGCCCCCAACATGGCAGCATGGCCCCGAATGTCTTCCTGTGCTTCGTCTTGGAAACGGGCGACGTCGCGTTTCCCCAAACGCCGAGTTCGGCCCGCGCCGGCCTCTCGGCCTTCGTCACCCGAGGATGGATGTGCTCGGTACAAGCTGCCGGTGTTTCCAGAGGGCCACGAAGATATCGACGCGTCGATCTATTTGGCAGGAACGCTTGGAGCTGACCAAACCCCAATAAGGGTGCGGGTGCCCATGCGTATCCATGGGTGCTGGCATGTTCATGGAGAGATTTCCTGTATGTTTTTTCATGGAAGCCTTTTACACGGCGTTTTTGGAGTTGACTGATGTTCACTGTTGCACACCTGCACGGCATTGGAGGTGGAGCAGAAGTTTAAACATGTTTTAACCACAAGGATTGGAGATTATGATGAATAGAATAGACATGACTAGACCAGAAACTGCAGTCTTTCTTTGCGGGGTTTTTGTACCCTTGTAAATTCGTGTAGCACTTGGACTCCTACTATATAACCCCAAGCCAGTGACAGGCTTATGCACATGTATTGAACATCGTTTTGTTTCCTATGACATGCATCCATCCATTCTTCAGAGCAATCAAGGCTTGCCCTGGAAAATCTCCACTGTGGACCCTGTGGGCACCCGAGCAAACACGGAGAACATGTCTACCCTATCCTTCAAAGACCATTAAAAGAACGGTTGAGCTGGTGGTGTAGTGTAAAAATCCTTAGTAAAACAATGGTTCTTTGGCAAAGACCATTAAACAATGGTTGTTTGAATCCTAGGGTCTAGGGTCATCACTGGTGTTTCTTTCTTCGCGCCACCGGTCCCTTCGAAGTAAGATGACAGTTCCACGCGATGTTCTGGTGCACGAGCCGACTGGTCATTGACAGATCACCCAGCACACATCCCACGGAGCCAATGGCATTCTGCGCAGGAGTTTTGATTCAAGAGATGATCTGGCAGCGCAGTGCCAAGTCCTTGCTGCTGTGTGGCCCGGCCAAAATCTGCGAAGCCCTGGCCAAGGAGCCCAGCGAACTCAGCGAAGTCTCGTCCCGTGGTTTCTCAGCAGATGTTGGTCTTGAAGGGGCTTGGAGTCCTAAGAGGCCGTCGAAGAAGGTTCATTTGATGGAGAAAAATCATCCGCCACCCGGCTTTCTGCAGTGAGTTGAAGACTTGGGCACTGGAAAGGCCCACCTTCCAGGCATTTCCAGGCTAGGCTAATTTGGACATGGTAAGATTTGTGCCGCATGGCCAGAGTGAGAGAGAGAGAGAGACCTCCGATGGACCGCAATTGCCGCAAAATACCTGTGATCCTCCAAATCCCAGCTTCAGCAAGATGGTTTTGTATCCCAAGTATTCCCAAGTAGGGTTTGGAGGTGTCGACACCTCCTGTGACAACAGTACCTTCGCCCGGCCGCACATCTCAGTGCGGCCTCAAAAGACAATCAGGCAGCCGGATGGACTCTACCAGCCTGTACTTGCACATAACTGGAAACAACTCTGGACAGGGTGCAAGAAGCCTGCCAAACAAAAACACGTGAAGCGGCCTGAAACATGCACACATACAGATTCACAATGATTCAAATCATGACGATATCCTTGAAGATGACATCATTTCAACTCAGCATTCCACAAGCCTGTACACAGACAGACCTGTTCATCTCTTTTGACCTTTTAACCTTTGGTTCCCCAGCATTCCCTGAGAATCAGCCAACCTTTTGACATCGTTTGACCAGCCAACCTTTCTACGTCGTTCACCTCGGACTTCACGAAGCGACGTCCGACGTCGCTTCGCTGGACTTCCGCCTGCTTTCCATCGCTTCGCAGGACTTCTCCGTGGATGGAAAGTACAGTTTTGAGGTGACTTCCATGCCCAACGTGTGCGGCACACCCGACAGCCCCTTCGAAGTGAAGATCGTGTCTGAGGCAGTGGCCGGGTCGCACCCGCACGCGTGGGACAGTGACGAGAAAGGGCGGCTGGAGTCGTGAGGGTCACTGGGACGTAGAAACTGTTGACGCCGAAGCATGCTACACATGTGAGAAAGACGGTCGTGTGCGTGGGATGTTTCTTTCAGAAATCTGACAGCCCGCAGAAGTGAGATCACGATCCAATCAGTACCTTTGTTTCTTGTGGGTTTTGGTACAGATAAGGACAGCGTGCAAGTTGTTTGGACGACTTACTGAAGTTGATCCAATTTGCTAGTTCCAACATGCAGGGTACGTGTACGCATTGCGTTCAAGCCGTTGAACCTTTGACTGTTCCTGTGGGAATGTGGTGCTGGTAGGATCAATTTAAAGAATAGTGCATGCAGAGGAACAACGATGCGAAAGCTGTTGTGCTGCTACACGTGGTAACTGGCATGCAAGACTGCTGCTAGTTATGACATGAACATGTCAAAACACAATCCTAATGACATCTAATGACTAATAATCATCAAATAGTCATTCCACCCCGCCCGTAACTGGAAGAATGAAGGAACCGGCGAAGACAAAACATTCACAGTTCTAGCAGCACATCTAGTTCCCTTGGGTGTTGATTTCTCGCTCCATCCAGCTGAGGAACTACCAGAGGCCAAGGACACACCCCAGGTGTGTGGGAAATCCGCCAACGGCTGCCGTTCCTTTGACATGAGAAGAGCTAGCCTTCGCTTTTGAGTCTTCAGAGTCTTCCCTGGAAATGCCTGTGGGCTGCTCCAAAGGTTCCCTTCCCCCCCAAAAAAAAGCCTTTCGGCTTCGGTCTCACGACTGGCGGGGCCTTCGCCCTTGCAGTCCCTTTGCTTCGTCACGGACCGGGGACGGACACGGACGGTCTGTGCTTGGCCGAAAACTCGGCCGGTCTCTGAGGTTTGGCCTTCGACTTGGGGAAGAGCGACATCAAGACCGTGGCCGTGAAGGACGAAGAGGCCGCTGACCCGGCCGCCGGTGGGACGGGAGCCGTGACGGACGGGAGCTCGGATGGGGACGTAGAGGAAGGCATTCAGACATCAGGAGCCCTAGAGCTTTGTGGGAATTGGTTGGGAGGCTGTTTTGGGGGCATTCATTGTGGTTCAGTGATGTTCAGTGAGGGTGTGAGTGGTTTGAGATGCTGTAGTTGCTATTTGCAGGTAAGACATGGTAAGACCAACATATATGACACGTCGGTATATATCACACGTCATGAAACTTATAAGCTAGTACGTGTCTTGCTTGGCATTTTTGGCCCTCTTGGATCATAAGATGCTGCTTTTCATGCTTTGAGTTTAATTGTTCCATGAGCGTTTCTTGATCTCCTCGTGCTAGCACAAGTGCTTCACCACTCGGGCTCACCCCATCTCAAAACACGACCAGATCATGCCGATCCCTGGCTGCTGGACCTTCCAAGCATGTCGAAGCCGGACATTCCAAGCCGCGTCGGCTGCGTAGTTCAATTCACACATAGCACACGTGCCGCACAGCATGGTGCAGCACGCTGGTGCAGCACATGACTTCGTTCGGGGCAGCGGGTCTCCATCGGGTGCAGCACATGACTTGCACTTCCGCCGGGTCCTTCGGGTCGGTGGGTCCCTAAGTGTGGTCCCTGCAGTGTGGCGCGGTCCAGAGAGGTGGTCTATTCCAAAGAGACCGAGTGGGATGCCACTCAGCTGAAAGCACCAATGCCCCCCCACCCCCGTGGTGGGGGATTTGAGGTGCAGCGGCAGAGGATGGCATATTCTCGTTTGTTTATTTGTTTCTGGCCAGGAGCGTCAACACAGCTGATTGGTTGGGTGTGTTTTTGATGGTTTGTGTGTTTTCTTCTCTCTTCAGTTGGGAATCGCAGTGAGGTCAACTCTTAACTCTTGAAGGTGCTGTTCCTGAGGTCCCATAAAAAGATGCCCGGGGGGTGGGTCGGTGGGTTATGGTGGGTTTGCCGCTAGTTATACCTCGCATCGGGAAACCTATGCGTGGGACCAGGAGCTGGTCATGGCCGCATGCGGCTGCATGCGGCTGCATGCGGCCGCATGGCCTGCTGAGGTCACGAATCCGGATCCAGATTACCACTTTAAGGCCGTGACCGCTGCCTTGAAGCTCGCCAAGGAGAAGTTGCCGAAGGTGGGGCGAACTCTCCCCAGAGATGGGGTATCAGGGCGAAGGCATGGGAAGGTGAACCCTCATGTAGATGTCTGAAGATATTGTTCTCCACTTTTGCGATTGTTGGATGAAACAGCATCAAAGCAGCCTTCTGGACACAATATAAGCTTCGGGGACCAGCTGCCAAGCGAAGTAACTAACTACAATTAACTTTCAATTGACATCCTCACTTCAATGTTGGACTCCAGATCTGCCACACAACACCTCCAGTCCTCCACCGCGCCAGTCCTCTTCCGCACGAGCGCGCGCGCGCCAGGTGGATGCCGTGGGCGGCAGTGCCACGGGGACCTTGGGCGCCAACAACGAGGCCACCTGGTGCGACATCTTCCCCAACGTGCCTCCAGCCGTCCCGTGGCCCCACACGGTCGGGCCGTGGGAGGGAACATCCCAGCCCGTGGCGGATGGGGAGAATGGTGGTTGAATTGGAGTGGGTGGGGTGGTTGGTTTGGTCCATTTTGGTTTCAATGGCTGTGCCACACATATGTTTGCAAGATGGGTTCAAAATGTTCAAACTTGCCCACAAAGCCCTAAGCCCTCACATTTGCACAGCCACCCCACAAATACACTACCATCCAAATCCGATGATGCCATGGATTCGGGCCCCGAATCCCTCCGCGCCGCTCTCCCAGGTCTACAAGCAGAAGGTGGTGGACATCTTTCAGCGCATCGCCAAGGACGTCGCTGGCGACGTACCACTGAAGGTCATCAACGACGGCGAGGCACGCCGCGGGTCGCCACGGCCACGCCGTCGTTCGGGCCATGCCATCCACTGCCATGATGATTCCAGCGAGTGTGCAGATGTTGTCAATGAAGCTATATTTCCCATTATTTCGCTACACTTGGACCCCCCAAACCTACATAACAGTGTCCTCAATCACCTAACCTGAGAAGGTACTTGGATCCCTAGGGTTTCCTCATGCTGATCCTTGCATCTTTGGTTTTGCCCGCCCAGACGCTCACAGGCGCTCATCCCATGCGTCAAGCCACAGCAGCGGCAAACAGCCTTACCAGCTTTTCAGAATCGACCGGCATCACAAACCAGAAGCTTTCTAACCCCCTACTCCAGGTACCTCCAGAGGAAGTGGCCTGGAGGAGTCCTCGGGTGCCATCCCATTCAGCTTGGAGGATGTAGAAAGAGGTAACCGTGGAAACTCCACAAGTTTTGGGCGCTTTAAAGGGTTACCCCTCCCAAACCTTAGCCCATTGGTCCATTCATAGCCCCCTTTTCAAAGAAGTTGACCCGTCAACCGCTGCCAGTCAGACCCGGACTGCCCGCAGGTGACTGCCTTGGCCGCCGTGCAGAAGTTGGGTGGCAAGGGCCACCTGGTGGCCACCATAGTGACATAGTGGTGATACCATGTGGTGGTGTGATGAATGCGGTGACATGTTTTTCCGAACATGAATCTCTTCCAGAGTGTCAGTGTCCAAAAAAAAAGGCATCAAGATACACTCTTGGTCAGATCTGTCCTCATATGTCTTCATGATCTTCATGTTCTTTCATTGGTTTTTCACTTCGCTTCAGCCACTCCGAGGCAACATCATGGGCATCTCCATGGGCAGCAGCGAGGGGGCTGGCTATGCCAATGCCCAAGGCGTGGAGACGTCTCTGTGCCTGTAAGGCCGACCCGAACGAACACCTGGGATTCCAATAGGCACTTCGTTTGAAGGGTCTTAAGCCAAAGAAACGCATTGCTTGATATATATACTAAGGATTCCCATGGATCATGTTAGACAAAACCGGGTCAACCGTGTTTCAAGTGGTCTTTGAAGGCTAGGGCCTATATAAACTTTAAGAAATCATCTTCACAAGCACTGGGTGTCTCATGGTGTATCTCCATCTTCACGGTTCAACCGGTGTTTTGGTTTGGTCTGACCCGATGAGTAGCGGATAGGCAACCTCATGGGATGGATCAATGAGTTGTGCTATGTGAAGCTTGGGCAGCACATGGGCGCTGGGAGGTTCCGGACGGGTTGGCCAAGTGAGTGGCGTTTTCGGATTTCCGTCCTTAGGTCGGAATGATCCCAGGCCAACCAAACAGATGCTCAAAAGATCTCAACAGATGACATCCCATGCCATGTCGGCACCAGCCAGCCCAGATGTCCTTTTCATCTGTCCTCCTTGAGGAATATTGTCCCACGCACCACGTCTTCTTGGGGGGGTCCCGACTCTCGACATCCCAGGAAGCTGGACATGAACCCAGAGGCGCCCACGGATCCATGGACCAAGGGCGCCCACACCGGGATGAGCCACATGTACTTGGGCCAGCGTGGCGCCACCAAGCTCGCAGCCAAAGCGGGCGTCAAGGTGCCGGCCAACTACGCGCCTCGCTCGGCAGCGGAGGGAGATTCTCGATGCGCGCGCGGATCAAGGTGCCAACTTGGAGGCTATTTGTAATGATTTGGATTGTTGGGGGCCGACTTGGCCAGAGACTCAATGCAACATATAACGGAGGCACAAACTGCAGCTTGACGTGAAGGTGATTGAAAGTTCTAATTCTAGTTCCTTTAGCCAATCATTTTCCGGGGATTTCCGGGGTAATTATGGAATAAAGACGAGTCAACGTGTATTTGACAAGAATCTGTATACGCATCAAAAGAGCAGAGCGCTCTCTTTTAAACATGGTGCGAGTGGACCTCCAAATCCGTAGCTTGCCTAACTTGTGCAATGTAAAGGTATGCGGACGAGAACCTTCACGGGAGAGTTCCACATCCGCCGGTCGTTAACTCTCCCCGCCCGGTCGCGAAGCAGTCGAAGCCGAAGCCAAAGTTCTTTTTCATTGCACCAGGTGTCACAGATGGCATTTCTACTCTTGGTTGATTCATGGAGGGGATACCCCGAAGTGTACAACCAAAGTCAATCAATATAGGCCAATGGTGGCACATTCTGGCACTGGTTCTGTCTCGATTCCCAAGACATTTCTGGGTAAGGTGTATCCTCACCCAGAGATGTGCACCATCAAGCACGAGAACCATGCGCAGTGCTTGAAACTCATCCAGAAGGCCATGGAGGATCCAGCAGTCCGTCCCCAGGCAGTGGTGGGTGGGGAAAAGAAGGTTGCAAACAGAACAAATGCTTCGCTGGGTCAAATCTGACAGAGTGGGTTGAAGTGGATGGCTGTTCACTTTGATCTCAGCGCATGGAAGTGGCTTGGTGGTGAGTACAAATCCTGTGCTCAGACCGGACTTTCCTCCTCAAAGGCTTTGATCAGGGCTAACCAGCAAGCGTCGATTTCATCGCCATCCGATCTTTTTCTCTTGGCATTCTGAGACTGATCGCCAGTGGCCCCACTCCAGGTTGGTCCCAAACCCTTCGTTTTGGTGGTTGGTCCATCTCCACCGAAGCTCCACGGGGTCCGAGCAGGTGGAGCAGCTCTACGTGACCATGGGTGTGTACTTGGGCTATGCGTTGGCCCAGCCGCTTGGTGAGGATTCCTTTGCGTTCGGACGCAGACGCTAAGAGCCAAGAGCCACCGAGCGGTCTGGGAACGGTTTGGAGGATCAATGGCGAGGATAGCCTAGCCTCCGGCTGCGTTTGGGGTAGATCCACTATAATACTATAATTTGATATACACATGCCCACCTGGCTTCCTTTGCCAGGCGGCATAGCTCCCAAAGATGGATCGCCGTTTCCCAGGACCCGTGGCCCATGGTGGTGAATGGAGACCCCCAATCACCTGGAAGATCCTCCAAGCAAAACGAGGATTCTTAGACCGGTACATGCTTTTGCGGAAGGATCTGTTCCAGCGCGGAGTTTGTTGGGGTCTTTGGTCGCTCTTGGGGCCCTCAAGGTACTGTGAGTTCTATTCCATTGACCATGTGATGATCCTGGGGCGCGTCAGCAAAGGCGCAGGAGGCACTCGGGAGAAGCAGAGTTGCCATTGTTGTGGAGCTCTCTCAAGGGCAGCGCGCTTCAGCCCAGTTGCTGTTGAAGAAGCCAAGTAGATCATAGCCATGGCTTTAATGTTTACTATCCCTACTAAATTCTACAAAATAATGTGGTTCTGAACAACAGGTATTCTTTTAAATCCTGCATCCCCTGGCAGAGCTGCTCATCATGCGACCAGGCGACATCATGCTCAACACTGCCAAGAAGGCACCGTCTTCCGCTCGCTTGGGTGTCCATGAGTGTACTTCTAAAATCCTTTGGAGGGGTGCCATGGACACTCTGGGTTGGTGTTACACAATGTTACACAGTGAAGAGTGTCCATGGCTATCAACATGGCTTATTCAGGGCCCCGTACTTCCCCTTCAGTATGGAAACTATCAACATCGCCTTCATGAGCTCCATCGACCCTCCAAATGCCGCATGGTACATGCTGCTTTAGATCGACATGCCTTGTGCTTTAGCCACGCCCAGGGGGTTGTCTCGAATTCTCAAGAGTTGCCGGCCGTCCAAGGGAAGAAGTTCAGACTGCCTTTGCCCAAGACAGTTTGGACAACTACTAGTAACTCTTAGTAGCTCCTGGCCTCACTACTAGTAGCAAGAAGCTACTAGGTTGGAGGCCATCGCTTCTAGGTGACACTTGGACTGTTTTATACTGTCTTTACACGAAGTGGGATCCCAGCCCGGCGGCCCCACGGCAAAGCGCCCTGCGCCCACGGCTCCAGGTGCTTGAAACCGAGTTCCCGGAGTATGCCTCCATGCAATTCCACACGGCCGACGACCACTTCAAGGCCGTTGGCCAGTGCATCGCCGCCGCCGCGCTGCCCACGCTCCCGTGACCGGGGCGAGCAGCGCAGGCTGGGGTGGGGCGCTCGGGTGATGCGAAGGGCCAAAATGATTCGTGCTTTCCTGCACGGATGCCAAACAAATCCTTATAGATTTATACATATTTATACTATATCAGTGAATGTGTTAGCAGCACACAAAGACAATGGGCTTTGAGAGTAATAGTGGATGCCACGACTGCCGAGACACTAAAGCAAACTAATCCATGCAAGACATGTGGAGTCGTGGTGCGCTCACTCCTGTCCAAAAGCTTCAGGTATAAAATATATAATATATAACTCATTATACTGTTTGTCACCGCTTTCTGACTTTCTGATGCAGTGTCCTCTTGGCGCGCTCCCCCACCATCGGCTATCCGTCTGCGGATATATTCCCTGTATGACGGTCGACCTTCTGGCGCTTGGCAGGCGAACTGGGGTCATTTGGAAGCATCCGGGTCGACTGTCGCTTTTGACGGATGCGCGGATGGCCCTGAGCGTTTTGTAGAACGCTGAGCTGTGATCCCACGGCAAAGGGCCGGCCAGATAAGGAAGAAATCGCTATATGTGGCTGAACGGCCCGGTCAAGGGCCTCCATCATTCTCCAAGCTAAGCGCGAGCACTATGGAACCACAAGCTGTCAGGGACCTAGTTTAAATTGACGGTGATTCTGCTCAGCACATTGGATCTTGGTGCAGCGTTCTCAAGCATAGGTTCTTGGACTATACAGTATAGATTTCTGGCAGCCACTGAGCTGCAGACCACTAGGGTGGATCGATTTGTCAACTTCGGCGAGAAGTGCCAAAGACTAGCCTGGAGAAGGGTGCAAAAGAAGCTAACTGTGCCGCGCCCTTTCTTAAATCATGTTGTATTGTACCAATCTGTATCAATGAGAAAGCGGAACAGTCCCAGAGTCTGCTGGGACCAACACCTGGTCGAAAGTTCATCCTCCAACAAGCCTTCTTCGTCCCCAGAGTGCGGTTGTGGCAAAGAATGGGGTTCTTCCTGCAAAAACTGGAGGAAGTTTCCTACAACAACCTAAAACTAAGGATCTCCAATTGCAAGGTTGCAAGTCTGATGTTGTTTGGCAGTTTTGAGCTGGAAATGTGCCATTGCTTTCCCCCTAGTCTTGTGGGTGAGTTTGCACAGCTTGCCTCATGACCCTGCAGGTGGCTCCGGCTGCACTGTTGATCTTGCTCTATCTACTGCACCTCGACCAGTTGAACAGATTCATATCTATAGCTAGGCGGTCAGGGATCTCCTTGTAGCACAGCCATATGGATATCCGTGGTTTCGGTTTGCTCCCTCCGGCTCTCTCCATACAATCTAAAAGATGCCCCGTAAAACAGTACTGTAACGCAGAATGCAGTCAATGACTAAGTGTGCAAATCGAAGGCCAACAAATAGGCCCAAACCTGTGGGTCCATGGCATTTGTAGTGCTTCTTAGCTTGCGTGTCACCTGCCACATACGCATGAGGGCCACATCCACATGTTTCAGAACCGTTTGAAGATAACGAAGTGTCTCACAACATCCCCATCCCTCAGAAATCGATGTCCAGGCATCAACATTATGAATATGATTGCCCAGACACATGTTTGGCAACGTTGGTGATTGCCCAGGCTGATTGTCCAAGCCATGGACCACAGGTATGCCATTCAAGCTAGCTATGTGCTGTTTTATACGACACCTCTTCAACCTCGAACCGCGCGGCGGTTCGCTCCTTCCATCCCACGAGTTCTCGACGTTTGGATGGAGCGGTGGAACCCGCACCGGCGCCAAGAATCGGATTCAGACAAGCCATGAGACTGGGCGATGTAGCTGACAGTCATTGACAATCCATGATGACCACCCCAACCATGGCAAAAACAAGCAAAATCTGGTCGGTTTTTGGGCACCCATTGCTTGGCACCATGTGACCTGTTTATCCCGCAAGACTTGTGTGGAACCAAGGCCAGGACTGGAGGTGGCATGCTTCCGTGAGGTGAGGGGGAAATGACCGCCATTCGTTGTTGTTGTTGTTTCATGTGTTCATGTGCTTGTTTTCTTCACATCGCGATTGGTTTTTTTTGCGTGGTGCGCCATGCTCCGAAGGAAGTGCGCGGCTTCTTCATGTTGGTTTTGCTGTAGTTATTGCAAGGATTGTGCGGGGTAGCGACTGAGGGAGAGGCGGAGGCATGTTGACCGTGGCCCATTGAGCCCTCAACTCTAAGCCTCGGAACATTGAGCCCATCCAAGAGTATGTAAAACTTTGGATGGCAAAGAGGGGTTGAAAGATGTTGAAGGGTCTACAGTTTCATGTTGATTTTCATGCCAAGCAGCCACGTCCTTGCTTCGACCAGGGGGCCCGAGCGGGAAGCCGAAGCACTGGCCGGCCCTCGATGCTGGAGAGTGAGGCGTGGCGTTTGTTGGTGGCAAGAGTGCCGTAGACACTGGTGAATTTGAATCGATGCTGGTGGCATTGAACCTGCTTGAGTGTAGTAGGATTGTGATTTGGAGAGGCAACTCCTTCAGGCATCAAAGAGGGTCATCGCGATTGATCTTCAAGTCTGCTTGTGCTCGAAGCAGCGCCGCAACCTGGGGTTGAACTTGAAAACACACCCTCAAAATCAGTTTGTGACGGTGCTGATACTGTGTTGTCGTGGACAAGTCAACTAAAACACTTAAGCACACACTCAAGTTACCACCCACCCACCCACCCACCCACCCGATTGCCGCCGCCACCACCACCACCACCACAACGCTAATGCATGCTACGACTCACGTTGGCGCAGGTGAGCGCACTTCAAGCGACCTTCTCCATGCGCTGGAGCGTCTCTTCTGCTCGACCGCTGGTGGCCGAAGCTTAGGAAAAGACGCCATTTGACCTGGGAGTCTGGTACAGGAGTCATATCGAAAGGTCCTTCACTGGCCTTCTTATGACGAACATGCATTAAGAATGGCCACTGGTTACCAGGAACAGAGATGAGAGATGATGAGAGCATATGAGAGCATTTAATAGCCGGCTTGTTGAAGACGAGAGAGAGAGAGAGAGAGAGAGACAGAGAGAGAGAGAGATCCGTCTTCTTGGGCTAAGGATCTCATGGTTGGTAGCGCAACCTGCTGTGCTTCCCCCCTGGTCATTTCAGAAGCGACAAGGTCGCATGAATGTAACCACAATGTGAATCCCAAACTGCTCCAGATACAACAAAGTAGTTACAGCTCCATGTAGTGAAAATGAGCGCACATGACAGGACAAGTCACGAGTCCAATGTTTTGGTTGGAATGCAAGTGTCCTCTTTGGGTTTTGCTCCTGTTGATTCAACAGGGTGCCCGAGTCCTGGATTCTTCATGGACACCATCTTCCAGCTAACATGTTCGGGGTCAAGCCAATTCCAGTGGATCCAGTTACCACTAGTGTTACCACTATATATATATATATGTTGTAACCAGTGGTTCCAAAGACAAAATCCGTTTAGACCTAAAGGCACTGGCTACTCGGATGAAGGCAATCCTTTGAATATTTTGTTGTTTAATGATTTAATGATGTTTTTCTTTAAATAGTCCTGTGCTAGAGTCCTCATGATCGCGAGTTTCCGTCGCCGAATGTAGCAAGAAGCCTGACCTTCGCTGTCGGGCTGGGTTTCCAGTGTGGAGCTGAAGCAGGGGCGGGGTCAAATGCATGAATTGGACTGAACTGGATGTTTGAAAGGGGAGGGTCAAAACATTGCTTCAAGAACAACATGCGGAGCAGAGGAGGAACTGAACATCCCTTTCAACTTCAGCTTATATACCATATTATTCCTAAATTATTCGAATTATTGTTCCTTTCGGCTGTTACGCCCATTGATTTGCAGAGGATGGCAGATGGGGCAACTCCAGGGCAACTCCGTGCCCGTGTCAGGGCACAATGAGATGTTCCCCTTTTAACGATCTTCGAGCATCTGAAGGAGATGTGTCTACATCGGTGGTCTCGGTGTAACGGCGTAGACCACTAGTCACTAGTGGCTAGTCGCTAGCTGCTTGGACTTTGACAACAACAAGGGCCCCATCCGCCAGGTCCATGACTCATATATCATATCATACCCGGGGCATCCAGTTACCACTATAGCCTGTAGCTGATAACCAGTGGTTCCAAAGACTAACACCATAAACCTAGAATCACTGGTTCCTTATATAGTGGTAGTAACTGGGATGCACTGGGATATGTCCTAATCTTACGCCCCTGTCACATGTTTGGCTCTTGTGGCTGGGAACAGAGCATGCATTGTTTTGCTGAATTCGCCGTTGGAGCACTGGGCGCAGCAATCTCCGCGCCACAGTGGTTGCCGAGGGCTGCCTGTGAAGGCAGGTTGCCACAGTTAGATGCCTTCCCTGTGTCCTTGGCTTTTCAGGATTGCATCCACATTGATGACGTCATCAAGTTCAAATGCAACCACTCACCAGCCGTGGAACGGGTGTTAAATGGTTTTACTCATGTGGAAAAGGATGACGATCTTTGAAAGGAACTCCACGCGGCATGGCATCGCCGCGGATGAAAATACACCTTCCTGCGTGTGGAGACACGGGCTACCCCTACATGTTTTCCCAAGCCTGGAGAGTTGTGTATGACAGAAACATGTAATATGTAGTGATATGTGGTGTATTGCAATAACGCAAACCAGGGAGAAAGAACAATATTTGGACACTCGGTGTATATATATATATATAGTATAGGGTCAACTCTTCAGGAGAAATGCTTTGGACACTGTTTCTATGTTGAAACTTTATGACGATGTCACCAGTGGTTCTAACACGTTTCGCAAGGCAAATCCAACACCGTTGACCTCCAAAGAGCTTCCCCCACTGTGTGGTCGTCTCCTACCCTGCAATGTGGGCCGCCCAAGAATATGACTCCAATGACGGGACCCTGCAAAAAGCGGCCCAGATGGATCTCGATATCTTTCGCTGTCACGAAACTTTCCCAGTGGCAGATGCGGCTGACTTCATGTTTCAGACCAGGTGGAGATTTCCCCTCAACGGTTTGGCCGGGTGATT